ATGGAATAAGAAATTAAAATACACAAGTGCGATGGAGTTAAAAGAAAACTGGATTAAAATGGCCCACAGATGGTATATAACTTCTCATAAATTAGGAAAATATTACAAAAATGCCAACTCAAAATGCTGGAAATGCGGAGAAATCGAGGTCAGCTGCACCACAGTCCCGGTGCATAGTCTTGTATATCCTTGGACATAACATTCTCTTACTCTCTCTCGTTCTGTTTGATCCATGTTTCAGGTGGTGGAAGTCAAAGGCCCCAATGACCGCCTCTCCCACAAGCAGATGCTGTGGTTGGCTGAGCTACAGGAGTTGGGCGCCGTGGTGGAGGTCTGCCATGTGGTTGCAGAGGGAGCCAAGAGTCTGCGCCTGAGCTGAGGGACATCTGTTCCGCTTGGCCTCGAGACCAGGACAAAGCCATTAAAATGCTTGGACTCTCCTCCAGAGTGTCTTAGTGGTCCTTTCTCCTGATGAACATGTTCAAACAAGACTTTATGAGCCTAAGCAAGGCATGAGCCAACTTTGGCCCTCCAAGTGTTATGGACTTCAACCCTCACAATTCCGGTAGGCTGTTAGGAATTGTAAGAGTTGAAGTCCAAAACACCTGGAGGGCCAAAGTTGGCCCATGCCTGGTCTAAACCATCTTTGTGGACAAGATTCTTGGAGATGCAAGGCCAAACACATGTATCCTAGACCCCTGCCCATCCTGGCTGATAAAGGAAGCCAGAGGGGGTTTGGCAGGGTGGGTGAAGGTGGTGGTAAATGCCTCCCTAAAGGAGGGCAAGCTTCCAGCAAGGCTGTTATAAAGCCGCTGTTGAAGAAACCATCACTGGATCCCACCCAATTAGACAACTTTCGGCCAGTTTCCAATCTCCCCTTTTTGGGCAAAGTCCTGGAACGTGTGGTGGTCTCACAGCTCCAGGGATTCTTGGTAGACACTGATTATCTAGATCCGGCACAGTCTGGCTTTAGGCCAGGACATGGTACCGAGACCGCTTTGGTAGATGATCTACGCCGGGAACTAGACGGGGAGTGTGTCCCTGTTGGTTCTGCTCGACCTCTCAGCGGCCTTTGATACCGTCGACCACGGTATCCTTCTGGGACTCCTCAGGGATATGGGACTTGGGGGTACTGTTCTGCAGTGGCTCCAGTCCTTCCTGGAGGGTCGGTCCCAGAAGGTGACTTGTGGGGTCCCGCAGGAATCAATTCTGTCCATGTTGTTTAACATTTACATGAAGCTGCTGGGAGACATCATACAGAGTTTTGGGTCAGATGTCATCTGTATGCGGATGATCTTCAGCTCTATCACTACTTCCCTAAGGACATCAGGTTGGCCACCTCCCTCCTGTCCTTTAGAAGACAGCTGAAAACCTGGCTCTGGGACCAGGCGTTCGATTAGAGGCCAGCGGCAATAAGAAAAGGAAATTTGGATTTTGCGACATGGATTCTCCCGGCATGGCTTGGTTTTATTGGCACTTTAATCTATTAATGTATTGTACTGATGATGTACAATGTTTTCAAATGATTTTATTGTGAATTGTAATTTTTATGGTATTTATGCTGTTAGCATCCTCTGATGCTCATGTGAGGCCGCTCTGAGTCCCCCTTGAAATAAATACATAGATAAATTTGTTTGAAGAAACATTTTGGATTGCTTTGAGCAAGTCTGAGGCTACTTGGTTATCAAGAGGAATCTTCTGTTTAGGTTGAGCTTCCTGGTGTTAGAACTGTTCAAAGGTGGAATATTATGCTGCCTCGGAGTCCATGGAGTCTTCTTCTCTTGCAGATTTTAAACAGGCTGGATGGCCATTTTTTGGGAAGGTTTTGTGTCTTCCCTCCCAGTCAAATGAGACTGGACTGGAAGCCCTTTGGGGATCTCCTCGAACTCTTAAGACTTTGATTGTAGTCATGAATAGATAATGAATCAATACATTAGATCTTTTCCCATCAATATGCTACAGTCAAGTGTCCCTGTTCTGAAAGTTCCACGTAAGTGGCTGAGAATGCAACACAGTTCTGGCCCAACGTACTTGTCTGAACGTATCTGCTTCTACGTCCCACCTTGGAGTTTAAGATCTTCTGGGGAGGCCCTGCTCTCAGCCACACCTGTCGCAAATGCGCTTGGCCGGGAAGAGGAACAGGGCCTTCTCGGTGGTGGCCTCCTGTCTGTGGAATTCACTCCCCAGTGAAATTAGATTGACTGCCCTTCCCTCCTTTAGAAAGAAGTTAAAAAAGTGGATGTGGGACCAGGTCTTCGGGTAATCTTGCTGACAATGACAGTGACAATGATGACGATCCGCTATGGAAATCTTGAAGAAGCCCCTTGGGGATCTCCTCGAACACTAATACTTTGATTTTAGTCATGAACAGATAATGAATCCATACATTGGATTATGAATCCAGACTACCTGTCTGAACTTATCTCCTGCCACGAACCATCACGAAGTTTAAGATCTTCGGGAGAGGCCCTGCTCTCGATCCCACCACTATTGCAAACGCAGTTGATAGGGACGAGAGACAGGGCCTTCTCAGCAGTGGCCTCCCACCTATGGAACACCCTCCCTAGACATATCAGACTGGCCGCCTCCCTCTTGTCTTTCAAAAGGAAAATCAAGACCTGGTTACGGGATCAAGCGTTTGATCAGTGAGCAGCAAGTGGAAGATCACACAACTTACGGCAATGAATTGACCCGGACTGGTTTTTGGATTTTGATTTTAATGGATATGTCTTAATTGTTTTAGTAGTTGTTTCAGTATTTTTAATGGTTGTTTTTATGACACTAGCATCGTAAGATGCTTTTGTTAGGCCGCCCTGAGTCCCCTTTCGGGGGGGAGAAGGGTGGGGTATAAATATAGGAAATAAATAAATAAATAAATAAATAAATGTTTCCCCATCAATATACTACAGTCAAGTGTCTCTGTTCTGAAAGGGCCACATAAGTGGCTGAGAGAGCAACACCTTTGCTTTCTGATGGCTCCATGCCTTCAAAGTATTACAGATATTGTGTTCTTTGAAACACTAATGAGTTTTGTATTTAGATTTGGGTCCCATCTCCAAGAAATATGCTGTGATGTAGATGCAAATGCAGTAGAGCAGTGTTTCTCAACCTGGGGGGATTGCAAGGAGATGTCAGAGGGGTCACCAAAGACCATCAGAAGACACAGTATTTTCTGTTGGTCATGAGGTTTCCATGTGGGAAGTTTAGCTCAATTCTATTGTTGGTGGGGTTAAGAATGCTCTTTCCTTCTAGGTAAACTATAAATCCCAGTAACTACAACTCCCAAATGTCAAGGTCTATTCACCCCCACCCCCAAACTCCACCAGTGTTCACATTTGGGCACATTGAGTATTCGTGCCAAATTTGGTCCAGATCCATCATTGCTTGAGTCCACAGCGCTCTCTGAATATAGGTGAACTACAACTCCAAAACTCAAGGTCAATGCCCACCAAACCCTTCCAGTATTTTCTCTTGGTCATGGGAGTTCTGTGTGCCAAGTTTGGTTCAATTCCCTCATTGGTGGAGGTCAGAATCCTTTTTGATTGTAGGTTAACTATAAATCCCAGGAACTACAACTCCCAAATGACAAAATCAATTATCCCCCCCAACCCCACCAGGTTTCAAATTTGGGCATGTCGCATGTTTGTATCAAATACATCCTGCATATCAGATGTTTATATGATGATTCATAACAGTAGCAAAATTATAGTTGTGAAGTAGCAACAAAAATAATTTTATGGTTGGGGGTCACCACAACATGAAAAACTGTATTAAGGGGTCATGGCATTAGGAAGCTTGAGAAACACTGCAGTAGTCTCGCTTATCCGACATAAATGGGCTGACAGAATGTTGGATAAAGGAAAATGTCAGATAATACTATCCCACTTCCGATACGGCGCTAGACACATAGCATACTACTAACAACAGGGACTCAAAGGGTGAAGGCAAGGCAACACCTCAGGGCTAGAGCGGTCCAGCAGGAAGTGCCCGGATGTGGAAGAGGAGCATGTAAATCACAGATTGGAGGAGGAGGATGCTTCCGCTTCCAGTCCTGCCTCTTTTCCCCCTTTTCTGCTGCCTCCTACTCCTTCTCGTCTTGCCTTTTTCACTTATTGGGAATGGAGAGAGAGTTGGGGAGCTCTCCTTTAATTGAAGGGAAAATGCTGGAGGAAAAGGGGGGCTGAATGTCGGATAAGCGAAGGTCGGATAAGCGAGACTCTAGTGTAGTCCTGAATCCAAAACACTTTGGGTCCCAAGTAGTTCGGATCAGTCATGAGCAACCTGTACAATATTAGAACACTTCCATGGGTTTCTGCATTGTCTGCTTTTCCTTCCCAAGCCATAGTAATGACATCCTCATCCTTCAGTCAGAGAAAATGGAAACCTCCCGGGTAGAGACTGCTATCAGTCTTTTAGGCTTTTGCCTCCATTGTATGAATAATAATAATAATAACCCGCTTTAATTGAACCTGCATTGATTGAAGTCAATAATCGGAAACTTCTCAAAGCACAGCAGACAAAGAGTCAGTACTGGATTATTGATGTCGCCATACTGGGTGCAAGTCGCATTGAGGAAAAACAACAGGAAAAACTCAGCTGCTATCAAGACCTCAAAATTGAACGGCAAAGGCTCTGGCATAAATCAGCACAGGTGGTCCCAGTGGTCATCGGCACACTGGGTCCTGTGCCAAAAGATCTCAGCTGGCATTTGGAAACAATAAACATCGACAATATCATGATCAGTCAACTGCAAAACGCCACCTGACATGGATCTGTGCGCATCATTCGAACATACATCACACAGTCCTAGACGCTTGGGAAGTGTTTGATTTGTGATTTTGTGATACGAAATCCAGCATAGAGATCGCGTTTGCTGTGATTTTGTGTCAGTAAAATAATAATAATAATAATCGTCATCATAGTCATCATCATCAAATATTGTGTTGGTGTGTTGCATGTTGTGAAGGTGATAGAGAATGTTTCACAGAGCCACACAGAAAGGGGTTTGTTTTTAATTTATTAAGTCCTGTTTACTTCACATTCACAACTGTGGCAGGGCTGCGCTTGTCCCTGCCCGCTCTACATTGCTCAAGTAAGGCATGGTTAGGCATCAAGGCTGAAGACTTCACTCCAAACTCTTTTATTTTTCCCACCAAAGTCAGAAAAGAGGAGCTCCCAGTGATAACCAAACTGCAAATCTTGCCTTTCACTGGGAAGCCTTTTCTTTGGAGACGTAACAGCCCAAAACAAAGGGTCGGGGAGGAGAACTCTCTCAACAACCAATACTGAAATAAAGCTGCCTATTGAACCGTACTTTTCCAGTGGCTCCTCTTTGGTTTATGACCTACACAAAAAATGAATTGTAATTGCACTTCTGTTAAACCACGCAATAGTCAGCTTCCACTTGGACCACAGTGAGGAGCAAAAGACCCCTGTTGTGTGGTATTATATGAACTGGGGCTCCCGTGAGGGATCCAAACAGTGGCGAATTTGAAGAAGTGGGGAAGATACAAAAATAAGCTTGTTTTTCCTATATTTGTGTATGTATATAGATAAAACGTAAAGTACCTGTTTCTGAAAGAGGAGGCTGTGCTCTGTGAGCCCTTTAGAATGAGAAAACTGTATATTAAGAGAAGGAGGTGGTGGGAGGTGGCCATTTAGGCCTTTAAGGAAGACAGTCAAGCAGTTTATATAGTCCTTTGAGCAATTAGTTCAGATATTGCTTTATTTGCCACGGTTCAATGTGAAGGAATTTATAATTCCACAAGGCCTTTTGCTTCTCTGTGGAAAGAATGCTGGGGCCTTGCCAAAATAAAGCTCTCATGGGTTGTTGTGAGTTTTCCAGGCTGTACGACAGTGTTCCAGAAGCATTTTCTCCTGACGTTTCACCTGCATCTATGGCAGGCATCCTCAAAGGTTGAGAGGTCTGTTGGAAACTAGTCAAGTGGGGTTTATATATCTGTGGAATGATGTCCAGGGTGGGAGAAAGAACTTTTCTCTGTTGGAGGTAGGTGTGAATGTTTCAATTGGCCACCTTGATTAGCATTTAGTGGCCTAGCGGTTTTTAAGGTGTGGCTTCTTACTGCTTGGGTGAATCCTTTTTTGAGAGGTGATTAGCTGTCACTGATTCTCCTACCCTGGATATTTCACTGGTTATATAAACCCCACTTGCCTAGTTTCCAACAGACCTCACAACCTCTGAGGATGCATTAGGGATTCCTCATCTTTGGAGGAGGAAGGGGAGCAGGGAAGTGCTCAGGAATTGGAGGGAGAAGAAGAATCAGACGATGAAGGTTTGAAAGTGCCCACATTTCTAGAGAGACGAAAAGAGACAGATCACAGACAGCATTCTGCTAGGATAGCTGCTAGAAACGCTGAGCTAATTGGGAGACACCCTAGCACCTCCTGCTTGGGGAATTCAGGGTTATAAATCAGTAGCAGAAGTAGTCAGTTTTCGCTAGTAACAATAACCCTGATACCAATGTTTTCTCTCCTATGGAATCTGCTTTGTGTCTGCTGCTAAGAATCTGCTTTGTGTCTGCTGCTTTGTGTCTGCTGTTCATCGTCCGTTGTCTGATGGAAGACTGGTGTATCTTTTGGGACTTCATAAGAGACTTTAATTTGTGTCTGGATTAAGACTTCCTTGTTTTCTTTTGCACTTTTGAATTGCATTTGCTTATCTTTTGTGTTTGCTGAAGTAAAGCATTTTTCTTTTACTTTCAACATTTGTCTAAAGGCTGTTTTTGAAGAGCAAGTCAGGACAGGATGCCAGCCATAGATGTGGGCAAAACGTCAGGAGAGAATGCTTCTGGAACATGGCCAGACAGTCTGGAAAGCTTACAACAACCCAATGATTCCGACCATGAAAGCCTTCGACAATACAAAGCTCTCATGATCCTGTGGTAGTAAATCTGCATTCTGTCTACAATGTAAATACGCCCTATGCCAGTGGTTCTCAACCTGTGGGTCCCCAGGTGTTTTGGCCTACAACTCCCAGAAATCCCAGCTACTTTATCAGCTGTCAGGATTTCTGGGAGTAGAAGGCCAAAACATCTGGGGACCCACAGGTTGAGAGCCACTGCCCTACGCCATACCCATGGGATCAGAGGCACAGAGAATGCAATTCAATGCTCACTTTGCCACTTCTATTACCTACCTTTTACAATTGTTTTTAATCCTTAAAGGGGCCATTCCACCACCAGCTGTATTACAGACGCCTACACCTCCAAATCAAATTTTTGCTGCTCAATATTCTTACTTCACTATTAAATTGGGGAGGAAAAAAGCTTTCTTTCCTACCTAGTCTTCTTTTGTTTTCATTCTCACTGCAGCTATAAAAAAATCCTCTCTACTCCATTTGGTTTAAGGGCAGTTGATAGGCAGCTATTCTTAAAAGGCAATCGTTTGAAACATCAAAAAGGATACGAAAAGGTCATCAGCTACAAAAGACATACAGTTAAAAAAATCTGAAAGGGAAGAAGGGGGGAGATTTGTTCAGGTGATTTGAGATATAACACATATCTCAAAAGTTCCAACGTCTTACCAAGTAATTTTTTTTTTTTGCAAAATATATTCATCCCACTTTCAACCGATTAGCAAAAAATATTACATCTGAAATGCAGTTAAGACTTTTAGGTATCAGGAGTAGACCCCACCTTGAAAAAGTTTATACAGCGTTTTTTTAAAAAGATGAAAAGTCGGGACACATACAAAATGGGAACAATATTCCATTGGTTATAAGGAGAGAAAGGCCTTCGACGTCGCCATTTCCAGTGAATCCAGTCCGCCTCTGTTGGCCCTTTATGGATAAAGGTTCAGGAGGCAAGAATGGAAACATCGGGAAGGGAAAGAAAAGCTTTCGAGCAGAAAAGGTTTCCAAACCAGGTACAACTCAGAGTTAACTCTATTCCGGCACCAAGATTTCCTTTGCTGCGCAAATGATCGTGGCTTTTGTTTACGTCCAGAAATTACCCTGTTTCCCCGAAAATAAGACATCCCCTGAAAATAAGACCTAGTAGAGGTTTTGCTGAATTGCTAAATATAAGGCCTCCCCCGAAAGTAAGACCTAGCAAAGTTTTTATTTGCTATGTCTTACTTTCGGGGGAGGACAGGAGCTGCAATACTGTTCTTGCTGTACAAGTGGCCCAGGAACTGCTGTGGGAGATCGTTACTAGTCATGGGCCGATATATGTCCCATTGGTGTTTCCATTTCGTTCCATCCATTTGGATGGCACAGAACGGACAGGCCCCTCCTAAAACAAAAATGCAATTGATACAAAAGGCAGGTAGGGCTACTTTTTGGATTGAATGCATGGAGCGCTCCTTTTTTGGCACTCAGCTGCAGGCCGTGCCAGGCCCGGGTGCATAGACCCAAAGCCTGCACCTGTACACCCAGGCGCTTTGGGCCGGCGGGTGAAGCCCCCCCCCCCCCAATAATGATCCGAAAGAAAACGGATCTTTCGGCCCTGAAAACAAAAAGCAAATATTTAACCTCCCGATTTTGGGAGGCTCAGACAAAGCGGATGGGATCCCAAATCAAGTCCCAAATGTACATACTAATCATTACAGTCTCCAGACAGTGTGTGGGAGACAGGTACTTTACAGCGCTTATTTTTTGTGGCCCTGTGTGTGAGTCAGGCAACCAGTGTGACCAGACAACTACTGTACAGTATGTTTAAAAAATCCTTATTTTTGTTCAATAGTAAATGTGAATTCTTTTTCATGGAAAAATAAGACATGCCCTGAAAATAGGGCCTAGCGCATCTTTGGGAGCAAAAATTAATATAAGACACTGTCTTATTTTTGGGGAAACAGGGTACTATATGATTGTGAATCTGGCAAGTGGGTAGAAAATGAGCTTCTCAAATAACTTTATTCCAAATGAAAGAAGTTAAAAAATTAAGAAAAGACTTTCAAGGCAACGAAAGGCACTTCTAAGGCTACTGCCGACATGCCTGGTTTGGGGGTTGTGCAAGTTGTAATGACCTTAGCAGTCAAATTCTGCCTTTAGAACCACAGTGAAAGCAATCTAGGTTCCCCTTTAGCTTAGGTTATGAGTAAAGCCAAAGCAAAAGGGGGATTTTCCTCATGAGGAGGTGGCAGAAATTGTAGCGATGGGGTTTTATGAGTATCCCAGCCGTCAGCAGCACATCCTGTACTTCCATAAAGATACCTTGATCCAGGAAAATGGGGCTTGCAGAGGGCAAAGGCCTTTTTAAAAAGCCAAATACACGAAATTTGCTCTTTGATGCTCCTGGGAGTTGAAGGCAAGCATTCCTCCACCTGCCCTGGCGCTATTTTGGACTATAGATTAGTTATGGAGATGAAATTTGTCCCATTCATTTCATTCATGTTTCTGTTTCGTTCTGTCTATTTGGATGGCACGAAACGGAAAGGCTGCTCCTGGAATGAAATGAAAGGCAGACGGGAGCGGGTACCAGCTCCAAGCCTGCTTTTCGGATCAAATGACTAGGGACAGGCAGGGCCTGCAGCCGAGCGCCGAGTAAGGAGCCCTGCCAGGCCTGGACGCATAGTCCCAAAGCCTGTACCCGTTGGCCCAAAGCACCCAGGCCTATGGGTGTAGGCTTTGGGACTACATGTCCAGGCCTAGCAGGGCTTGCAGCCTAGCACCAAGTAAGGAGCGCTCCTTACTTGGCGCTCAGCTGCAAGCCCTGCCCGTCCCCAGTCAATCAATCCGAAAAGCAGGCTTGGAGCTGGTACTCGCTCCTGTCTGCCTTTCACCAGTGCTCGGCTGCAGGCCCTGCCAGGCCTGGATGTATAGGCCCAAAACTTGTGCCCGTAGGCCCAAAATGCCCAGGCCAACGGGTGCAGGTTTTGGGCCTACGTGCCTTAGTTGGAACTCAGCTGCAGGCCCCGTTAGGTCCGGGGTGCCTGCTGCCAAGCGCCGAGCAAGGGGTGCTACATACTCAATGCTCGGCTGCAGACCCTGCCTGGCCCAGGTGCATAGGCCCAAAACTTGCACCCGTAGGCCCAAAGCGCCCAGGCCTATGGGTTTTGGGCCTACATGCCTTATTCGGCACTCAGCTGCAGGCCCTGCTAGGCCCAGGTACGTAGGCCCAAAGCCTGCACCCGTAGGCCCGGGAGCTTTGGGCCTACGGGTTAAGCCCCCTCCCCAAAACAATGGGCCGAAGGGAAATTGATCTTTAGGCCCCGAAAACAAATATCTTAAAATGGATTGGGAGCCCCTCTGAAAGCCGGGACACAAAACGGATCAAGGTAAGTCCTGAATGCACATGATCACTCTAGATAACTTTTTCCAACAGGAAGTCGACTTCTCAATCCCTTCCTGTTGGGAAAGTCTATTTTAGACCTAAAACGTACAGCAACTGTGGTTTTGATAGAGACAACGATGAGGGCAACTCTGCATTGGGGGGACTCAATGTGACGTCATAAGCCAACACTATTTCTCTGCTTTACAAACTAAAAAGCCAGCCTCAGATGCACGAAAAGAGGGAGGAAAGAAAAAAAGCAGACTCGCAGGCTGAAACCAGATCATGCCCAGATAGGTTCACTCAAAAGTAAATGCTTTTAAATCTAATATGTTTCGAATGAGAGGGATGCTTTAGAAGAACTGTGGAAATCAATGGGTGCTTAAAGTGCCTCGCCTCGGCCGGCTCATGCCATAAATCTGCAATTTGTCAAAAGCATACAGCTTCTGCGTTTGCACCAATATAAAGGCAATCAAACCCGACCCTGCAAATCTGCTTCTCTTTTTCCCCTCCGCTCTCTTGTCTTCATCTATTTATCAGTGCACGCCGACGAGAGACTTGCTTCCGTCAGCAAAATGGGAACAGCGCAAAGGAACCAAAATTATCCACCGACAGGATGGGGGAAAAAATATCAAAGATGATATATATATGTAAGAGTGCAGGAAGAATGGCTTAATGAAGGACAGGCTTCGAGATTGGGAAAGTGGAAGAGGAAAAAAGGTTGTGCAGTTTGAAAGCATGAGACTCCTGCTTTTTTAAATACTTTGTGCAAAAACGAAGGAGATTATTATCGCACGACGCTGCTGAAAAGTGCTGCTATTCCACACTTTAAATCCTATGGCTGCCTCCTGGGGGGTTCTGGGATTTGTAGTCCGGCGAGGCCCAGGATCTCTCTGGTTGAGAATCGTAAAGGCCTTCCTCTAAACAGCAAAGTGAAATAACAGCATAGTGTGATAATCTCCAAAGGTAACCTTAGTACAGGCCTGGGCAAACTTTGGCCCTCCCTCCAGGTGTTTTGGACTCCAACTCCTACAATTCCTAACAGCCTACCAGCTGTTAGGAATTGTGGGACTTGGAGTCCAAAACATCTGGAGGGAGGGCCAAAATTTGCCCAGGCCTGCCTTATTATATAAAGTTATTACAGCTTCCGGTGCTGCAATTTCGCAGTGTGGCGTCAAGGTGCTAGTCCTCATCCCTTGTCCTGAAGGCATCAATCCTCGTTGGCCAGTGTCTCTGTGGACAACCAGATTTTGGCACCGCTCAGGAATTTACTCAACGGCGTTCCCAAGATACTCCGCCGGCAGAGATTCCCAACAGGCGAGAAGGGGAAGGAGGACGAGAGGAACTCAGGGCTGGCGGATGGGTCGTTGAGCTCGGCCGCCCTGAAATACATCCGGCTTTGGTCCAGTTCGGAAGCAGCGTTGAACAGCAAAGGCGGGGCCCCGTTGTGTCGCCGCAGGCTCCGGTTCAAGGCCTCCACTTCGTCCGCCAACAAGGAGATTTTGTGGAAGGCCGTGATGAAGCCGCCACTGCTGATCTGGGCCTCGGGGACCCAGCGGAAGTAGCAGAGCTTCCAGAGTTTGATCTGCGTCCCGGAGAGACGGGGGAGGAGGACGCCGTGCAGGTCGGGCGGCTTGGAGAACCACTCCCGGAAATACTGCTCCATGCCGTTGGCGTTGTCGTGGGCGTGATGGAGGAGGAAGTCCGGCTTCAGTTTGAGGATGAGGGAGTTCCTTCTTGGGAGGAAGTCTTGCTCGCCAATGATCCCATTTTTGAGGGACGGCGGGAGGCCTCGGAGCGTCGAACTGTAGTTCTTCTGGGAATGAAAGTTATCACACAGCATTCAGTTTTCTATCAGATTCAGGGATATAGTTCATTATTATGAACTACTAGCCGTCCCCTGCCACGCGTTGCTGTGGCCCAGTCCATGTATATGTGTTTTGTGTGTATATATATATATATTTGTGTATATGTGTATATACATGTGTTTGCGTGTATGTGTGTATCTATATAAATAAAAATGTAATGTTTGTTTGTGGGATTAACACAACTCAAAAACCACTGGACAAATTGACACCAAATTTGGACACAAGACACCTCAAGCCAACAAGTGACCATCACACATAAAACACTGAAAAACACAGCAGAAGAGAGTCAAAAAGCCAAAAAAATAAGAAATACATTACAACACATGAATAAAACCACATACACACATACATATATATATATACACGCAAACACACATATATACACATATACACAAATATAAACACACACATACACAAACACACACACACATGAAGCACATATACACAGACTGGGCCACAGCAACGCGTGGCAGGGGACAGCTAGTGTATATATAAATATGTGTGTGTGTGTGTGTTTGGTTTTGCGCATGCACTGTAATGTATTTTTTATATTTTTGGCTTTTTAAGTCTCTTCTGCTGTGTTTTTCAGTGTTTTTATGAGTGATGGTCACTCAATGGCCTGATACATGTATTATGGCCAAATTTTGTGTCAGTTCGTCCAGCGGTTTTTGAGTTATGTTAATTCCACGAATGAACATTACATTTTTATTTATATAGATAATAATGTCGGTTGTTAGGAATTGTGCCTGATGTCCAAAACACCAAGGGTGGGGAGGGCTGGAGTTGGCTCATACCTGCTCTAACAGCACATTGAATCAGCATTTCTCATCCTGGGGGTTGGGACACTTGGGGTGGGGGTTGTGGGGAGGGGTTGTCAAAGGGATTACCAAAGACCATCAGAAAACACAGTATTTTCTGTTGCTCATGGGGATTCTGTGTGGGAAGTTTGACCCAATTCTATCATTTGTGGGGTTCAGAATGCTCTTTGATTGTAGGTGAACTATAAATCCCATAAATACTATAAATCTCTTCTAAGGTTTCAAAGAGGGAAAAGCTCAATAACTACATCTCTCTGAAACACAAGCAGAGAGAGATCTCAAAGCACACAGCGTATGCACTCAATACTAAATTTGGCCCAATTCTCTCGTTAGTGGGGTTCAGAATGCTCTTTGATTGTATGTGAACTATAAATCCCCTTCTTATTGTTTCTTTGTCAGTGTTGATGTGGAGATTGACTGATCTGTCTACTCTGGAATATGCACCATATAATAGTCCCTCTTTAGGAGTCCCTTTCAAATCTATAATATGATATCTGTGTGTGCGTGAATCATATCTATCTATCTATATCTAAGGCTGGATGGCTCTTTGTCAGGAGGGCTTTGATTACATTTTCTTGCCCTGGTGAAGGGAGTTGGACTGGATGGCCTTAAATATTTTCTATTGGTAATGGTTGTTCTGTGGAATACAAATCATTTGTGAGGTTCAGAATGCTCTTTGATTGTAGGTGAACTATAAATCCCAGTAACTACAACTCCCAAATGTCAAGGTCTATTTTCCCCAAACTCCACCAGTGCTCACATTTGGGCATATTGAGGATTTGTGTCAAGTTTGGTCCAGATCCATCATTGTTTGAGTTCTCTTTGGAGGCAGGTGAACTACAACTTCCAAATTCAAGGTCAATGCCCACCAAACCCTTCCAGTATTTTCTGCTGGTCATGGGAGTCCTGTGTGCCACGTTTGGTTCAATTCCATCATTGGTGGAGTTCAGAATGCTCTTTGATTGTAGGTGAACTATAAATCCCAGCAACTACAACTCCCAAATGACAAAATCAATCCCCACCCCAACTATACCAGTATTGAAATGTGGGAGTATTGGGTATTTGTGCCAAATTTGATCCAGTGAATGAAAATATATCCTGCACATCAGATATTTACATTACAGGTTATAACAGTAGCAGAATTAGAGTTATGAAGTAGCAACGAAAATAATGTTATGGTTGGGGGTCACCATAACATGAGGAACTGTATTAAGGGGTCGCGGCATTAGGAAGGGTGAGAACCCCTGCATTAAATGCAAGCATCTTACAGCAAAGTATCATCGCCCCCACTTCACCACCCAATCCTCACCTTTGTCCGCTTGAAGGATTTCACGGCCCCGTTCTGGACGCAGGGCGTGTTCTTCCCAATGTACCAGGGGTTGTGGAAGAGCATGCGGTCCCTCGCCGTGTGCTGCAGAGACCAGTCCCAAACGGAAGGGAATTTCAGACCTTTTTCGTCACCCAACTGGATGTTTTTGCTGATTGCAAACTCCTGGAAGGAGATTCATAGGGGTTTAATGCAGCAAGAAGCAAAAAAATAAAAATAAAAATCCAGAAACACTTTAAACCAAAGTTGCTCCCCATCTCAGCACTCAGATGCCAAACAGCAAGAGACGACATGCAAATATACGCAGATTATTATTCTATAATTAGTAGCATATATACATCTGGCAGTGCCCAGGTGTTGTGGAATCACCGACTGCCTACTTCCTTTCTCTTTTTCTCTCTTCCCTTTCTTTCCTTCATCCTTTCTTCCGTTCCTTTCTCTTCCCTTCTTCCTCTTTCTTTCCTCTCCTCCCTCATACCTCTCTTTATTTATTTATTTAATAGTATTTATATTCTCACCCCGCAGGGGACTCAGGGCGGATTACAATGTACATATACATGGCAAACATTCAATGCCATAGACACACAACATATATAGACAGACACACAGAGGCTATTAACATTCCAGCTTTTGATGAGGGTATTTTGGCCACTAGGGGAGCTGTCACTTCACCGTCCATTTGTGACACTAATGAAGTACTTCCTCATTCTTTGCATGCTTGCTGGATATTTTTATGGCATCGTAAATTAGTCTCCCCGCATAAGTGGTACCTAAATTTCCTACTTTGTCCAAAAATAGATCCGTCCCTTTATAGCAGTGTTTCTCAACCTGGGGGTCGGGACTCCTGGAGGGGTCGCGAGGGGGTGTCAGAGGGGTCACCAAAGATGACCAGAAAACACAGTATTTTCTGTTGGTCATAGAGGTTCTGTGTGGGAAGTTTGGCCCAATTCAATCATTGGTAGGGTTCAGAATGCTCTTTGATTGTAGGTGAACTATAAATTCCAGCAACTACAAAATGTCAAGGTCTATTTTCCCCAAACTCCACCAGTGTTTACATTTGGGCAAACTCCACAACCCCTGCCATGATGAGTACTACTCCGCATAGTACTCTGCTTCTCTTTTATCTTGTCTGAGTTTTTAATTAGTTTTAATTAGTTTGTTTTTTAATAATTACATGCACCCCCCCACTGTTTCTGTGCCTGTGTCTATTGTAATTCTTATATTGTTATGTATTCATATGTTTTATGTAATTATGTTGTTTACTGTTTGCGTTTTCGGTTGTGTTTTGGTTTTCTTTATTGTAATTGTTGTTCGGGTATGGCCCCATGTAAGCCGCTCCGAGTCCACATTGGGGAGATGGTGGTGGGGTACAAATAAAGTTTATTAATGTCAAGGTCTATTTCCCCCAAACTCCATCTGTGTTCACATGAGTATTCATGCCAGTTTGGTCCAGATCCATCATTGTTTGAGTCCACAGTGCTCTCTGGATGTAGGTGAACTACAACTCCCAAAACTCAAGGTCAATGCCCACCAAACCCTTCCAGTATTTTCTGTTGGCCATGGGAGTCCTGTGTGCCAAGTTTGATTCAATTCCATCGTTGGTGGAGTTCAGAATGCTCTTTGATTGTAGGTGAACTATAAATCCCAGCAACTACAACTCCCAAGAGACAAAATCAGTCCTCCTCAACCCCACCAGTATTCAAAATTTGGGTGTATTGGGTATTTGTGCCAAATTTGGTCCAGTGTATGAAAATACATCCTGCATATCAGATATTTACATTGCTATTCATAAGAGCAGCAAAATGACAGCTATGAAGTAGCAATGGAACTAATTTTATGGTTGGGGGTCACCATAACATGAGGAACGGTATTAAGGGGTCATGGCATTAGGAAGGTTGAGAACCACTGCTTTATAGTATCCTTGGAACGGACTTCAAAACCAGACCCGGATCAGGCCCTGTTTCCCCCTACACCTACCGTGCTCTGCTTGACCCTCTGGTGAGGAGAGTTGAAGAGGAAGGTGCCGAACAAGGAGATCCGTGTACTGTCATTAAGGATCGTCAAGTAAGCTTCGGAGAATTCAAAGGCAGAGGGGTATTGCTCCAGCAATTGCCAAACGCAATCCAGGAACAGTAAGAACAAGGGAGACTGGAAAATGGAAAAATGCAGTGAAAGTGGAATAACAGCATAGTGTGATACTCTCCAAAGGTAACCTTAGTAAAGGCCTGGGCAAACTTTGCAGCCAGTAGGCTGTTAGGAATTATGGGAGTTGAAGTCCAAAACATCAGGAGGGCGGAAGTTTGCCCATGCATGGTTTAGATAAATAGAAAACACTTCGGATCCAGAGGGAATCAAACAATTCTAGAGTTGGAAGAGACCACGTGGGCCATCTAGTCCAACCCCCTGCCATGCAGGAAAAGCATAATCAAATCACACTGAGGCCTTTTCCCCACTGAGGCCTCTCTCTTCCTTTCTTTCTCCTTCATTTCTCCCTCATACCTTTATTTATGTACAAAGAGGCTTCTCTCACACAGAGGGCTACCTCAGACAGGCGCCTCCCTCACAATGAGTTGTTCTAATTCTGAGGCCTTCCTCATACTGAGGCCCTTCTCCCACTGAGGCTTCTCTCAGACTGAGGACTCTTCATACTGAGGGCAACTAACAGTGAGGAATACTAAGCTACAGGCACACCTGCTTATATTAAACTGCAGCTTCTGCTGAGTTCTTGCATTTATTTATTTATTTACAATATTTATATTCCGCCCTTCTCACCCCGCAGGGGACTCAGGGCAGATTGCAATGTACATATACATGGTAAACATTCAATGCCACAGAAACACAACATATATAGATAGAAACAAGATATATAGACAGACACACAGAGGCTATTTAACATTCCAGCTTTTCCATGAGGGTATTCTGGCCACCAGGGGAGCTGTCGCTTCACCGTCCGTTTGTGACACTGATGAAGTACTTCCTCATTCTTTGCATGCTTGCTGGAGATTTTTATGGCCTCGTAAATTAGCCTCCTCGCATAATCGGTACCTAAATTTCCTACTTGACAGATGCAACTGTCTTTCAGGCTGCAAAGGTAGACAGCAAGCTACACAAATTGGTCGGAAGCTCACTCCAACCCGGGCTGGCTTCGAACTCATGACCTTTTGGTCAGTAGTGATCTTAATGCAGCTGACTCCCAGCCATTTGACCCTTTGAGTGCTTGACTCACATTTTTGTCATTAAAAATACCTAGTTCATTTTTAATATTTCTGACACCATTGAGTCCTAATCTCCAGGGCAGCAGAACACAAGCCTTGTTCCCTCTTCCTTATGACATCCTTTCAGATATTTAAACATAGCTGTCATGTCTCCTTTCAATCTTTTCTTTTGCAGGCTAAACCAAGCTCACCATGTTTTCCTAATACACTTTGCATCCTTTGACAAGTTACATAGTCCCTAGCATTATCAAACCAACAGCTGTGTCTCCTGTTTGTGGGGCGATGGCTCGGTGTGAGTTGTCTTAAATCCAAGTCATCCCTTCTGCAGGTTCTTTATGGCCCATTACCTCTTTGTCCGATTTCTTCAGGTGGTTGCACCGATCCAGAAATGGGTATCCGGCCATGACCCACTCCTTCTGAACCAGGCTCTGAAAGCCAACCATGGTCCGGAAGAAGGGATCCAGCATCACTTGAACCAGGGAAGCCACGCAGCAGCTCAGGTCCCTCCCTTCCTCTTCTGTGGGGAAGCATTGACAGGAATATCAACAAGAGGGAAACAGGAAAAGATTTAATGCAATTTAATGTCAGGAATTTTTTTTACTCATCATCAGATACCTAATTATGATGGTTTGACATCTGCGTTAGCTTCAAAATGTTTTTGCAAATTCTAGGGGCTTACCTTGCAAAATTACTGAAACACGTTTGCTGTCCAGCATGTAGACAAGCTCTGCAGAATGCTTCAGGAAGAGCCTGGACCAAAGAGACAAAAGAAAATCTACAAGCCACATTTAAAATGATTTACAGCTTATATTCTCGAGTATAAGCTGATCCAAATATAAGCCGAGGCACCTAATTTTACCATAAAAAACTGGGAAAATGTATTGACTCGAGTATAAGCTGAGAGTGGGAAATGCAGTAGCTACGGGTCAATTTCAAAATAAAAATTGATACCAATAAAATTACATGAATTGACGCATCAGTAGGTTAAATGTTTTTCAATCTATATAAATAAAAATGTAATGTTCGTTTGTGGGATTAACAGAACAAAAAAATAACTGAGTGAATTGACACCTAATTGGGACACAAGACACCTACTAACCCAAGGAGTGACCATCACTCAAAAATTTGATTTTGTCTTTGGGAGTTGTAGTTGCTGGGATTTATAGTTCACCTACAATCAAAGAGCATTCTGAACTCCACCAATGATGGATTGAACCAAACTTGCACACAGGACTCCTATGACCAACAGAAAACACTAGAAGGGTTTGGTGGGTATTAATCTTGTGTTTGAGAGTTGTAGTACACCTACATCCAGAGAGCACTGTGGACTCAAACAATGATGGATCTGGACCAAACTTGGCACGAATATTCCGTATGTCCAACTAGGAACACAGATTATAAATGTAATAAAATAACAGTAACATAATGTAAATGTAATAATAATAATAACAATAAATAGAGTACAATACAAAATGTAATAAAATGTAATAAAAATAATAGAGTAAAATAATGTAAATGTAGTAATAACAGTAAATGTGCTTACATATCCTTCCAATAATAACAAAGAGAGTAAAATAATGGATGTAATAATAACAGTAATAACAGAGTAAAAATGTAAATATAATAATAATAAATGGAGTGAAATTATAAATGTAATAAAATAAATAACATAATGTAAATATAAAATAACAATAAATAGAGTAAAATAAAAATGTAATAAAATGCAATAAAATAATAATAGAGTAAAATAATGGAAATGTAATAACAGTAACAATAGAATAAAATAATAAATGCAATAATAGCAGTAATAATAGAGTAAAACAATAAATGTAATAATAATAATAAATACATTAAAATAATGGATTGTTAGCACTTAATTTTTGCTCTTGTTGTTAACCGCGTTGAGTCGCCTACGGGCTGAGAAACTGCGGTATACAAATAAAGTAAATAAATAAATAAATAAATAAATGGATGTAATAATAACAATAATAAATACAGTAAAATAATGTAAATGTAATAATAATAATAATAATAATAGAGTGAAATTATAAATGTAATAAAATAACAGTAACATAATGTAAATGTAATAATAATAATAATAAATAGAGTAAAATAAGAAATGTAATAATAATAATAATAATAATAATAATAATAATAATAACAATAACAACAGAATAAAATGTTAAATAACTTTGACTCGAGTATCTGAATGCAATTTTTCTGTTTCTTGGCAGAGGGTTGGACTGGATGGCCCACGAGGTCTCTTCCAACTCAATGATTCTATAAGCTGAAGGGGGCTTTTTCAGCATAAACAAAGGGCTGAATAATGCGGCTTATACTAGAGTATATATGGCAATACTTAAGTCATTCAGTCCCAAAGGTAAGTTGTCAGAATCAAATAATTATTAAGTCTTAACTTTTCTGGTTTCGGTTCCACACGTTCAAGTAATAATATTATAATATTATACTTTTTTGTTTATTGGGCACAATACAATCAAATGCAATCATAACAGCATATATTAAAATACACACATATTAAAATAATTTATTTATTTATTACTGCGCTTGTATACCGCCGTTTCTCAGCCAAAATTGGCGACTCAACGCGGTTTACAATTCTACAAACAATCAACAATATTCAGTTTAAAAAGCATAAAAACAACATACCATACCAAAAGTCCCACCAAGGCCCTCATCTCCAGCTCTCAGTGCCCTAAATTACATTTTATAATACGTCTTAAATACAAGACAATCCAATAAGCTTCATTTTTGTTAACCAGTGGTGGACAAACCTGACATACTCCAGCCAACGGGAATTATCCAGCAAGGACAACCATTTCTCCTCGGTTTCTTCGAATGGCTCTGCAATGAGAAAGAACACGCATTTTCAGAGATGGGAAGAAAATTGGCTACAATGGGAAATTTTAAAGGCTCAATCATTTCTCAGTTATTTTAAGGCCTGCGTGAAACCTACTTCAGTTGTAGACCCCATTTACAAATACAGGCCTGCCAAGTGTCAGAACAATTCACCGGTCTACTGACTTTTAATAATTATTTTAAGTTTGAACCATAACATTTTTAAAAAATAAGACAAACAGCAGGAGAGGGTTCTGGGAATTGTAGTCACCGCTTGCGTCCATTCTCAGCCAATCAGAGCATTGACACAACCAGGCTTTTTATTGGTTGTGAAACAGAGAGAGAAAAAAACTTCAACTCCCCTAATGACCGCTGGGAGAGGTCATCCAGAGTTTTGGAGTTGGGTGCCATCTCTATGTAGATGACGCACAACTCTACTACTCCTTTCCACCTACTTCCAAGGAGGCCTCTCGGGTGCTGGACGAGTGCCTGGCCGCTGTGTCGATCTGGATGAGGAGGAACAAGCTGAAGATCAATCCTGACAAGACAGAGGTCCTCCTGGTCGATCGTAAACGGATCAGGGTATAGGGTGGCAACCTGTGTTGGATGGGGTTACACTCCCCCTGAAGTCACAGGTCCGCAGTTTGGGAGTCCTCCTGGACTCATCGCTCATGCTTGAGGCTCAGGCGTCGGCGGTGGCTGGGAGGGCTTTTGCACAACTGAGACTTGTGCGCCAGCTGAGCCCGTACCTCGCTAAGGCTGATCTGGCCGGGGTGGTCCATGCCTTAGTCACCTCTAGACTGGATTACTGCAATGCGCTCTACGTGGGGCTGCCCTTGAAAACGGCTCGGAAATTCCAATTGGTCCAGCGGGCTGCAGCCAGGATGCTAACTGGGGCTCATTACAGAGAGAGGTCGACCCCTCTGTTTAAGGAGCTCCACTGGCTGCCATTTATTTTCCGAGCCCAATTTAAGGTGCAGGTGCTCACCTACAAAGCTGAACGGTTTGGGACCACCCTACCTGCGTGACCGCATCAACATATATGAACCCACACGCTCTCTTCGGTCATCTGGAGAGGCCCTGCTCGTGATCCCACCTGCGTCGCAAGCGCGCTTGGTGGGGACACGGGACAGGGCCTTTTCTGTGGCGGCCCCCCGACTTTGGAACGCCCTTCCAAAAGATCTCAGACAGGCCCCTACTCTAGCCGTTTTCAGAAGGAATTTAAAAAGTTGGTTGTTCCGTTGTGCCTTCTCAGATTAGGAATCCACATCACCAAGCCCTAGATGCACTTTAGTAGAACAAGATCGCTGCACACCGCACTTATCTAATCCTACGTTCCTCCTGCCATCTCAGCACTTTTAACCTTGTACCCATTGCTCTGGCCGGCCCAGTTTTAAAGTGTCCGATGTATTGTTACTGTTGTTGTTACTGCTTAACTATTTGATTTGCTTCTGTGTCATTGTTGTGTTATGATGTGTTGTATTGTGTTTGAGGCTTCGGCCTATGTGAGCCGCATCGAGTCCTTCGGGAGATGCTAGCGGGGTACAAATAAAGTTAATAATAATAATAATAATAAAGCTCCGAGAGGACTTTTCAATGCCCGCTTATGCAAGTCCTGCTGGGAAAGCGAGTTCCCAGGAGGGCAGAGGGCCCTCTCTAGAGGAGGGGCCTAAAAAGAAACGGAGGGACGCTGACATGGCAGACCCCTGACTCAGGTATATTGCTGACTAAACTCCTTCGTCTCCGGGAGCCAATAAAATCCAACTCCCTTAATCCATTTTGCTGGACTTTGAGACTCCCTCCTCCCCGTTCTGTTTTTGGATATTACATAAAACTAGCTGTCCCCTGCCAGGTGTTGCTGTGGCCCAGTCTGCTGATCTGGAAAATAAAGTAATGAGAAAATGTTGGTTTCTAAAATATGTAATTTCTCTATCCTCGTGGGTAGACAGTATTTCCTCCTGGTCGATCGCAAACTGGATCGGGGTATAGGGTGGCAACCTGTGTTGGACGGGGTTACACTCCCCCTGAAGCCACAGGTCCGCAGTCTGGGAGTCCTCTTGGATTCATCGCTCACGCTTGAGGCTCAGGCGCCGGCGGTGTCCGGGAAGGCTTTTGCACAATTGAGACTTGTGCGCCAACTGCGACCGTACCTCGCGAAGGCTGATCTGGCCGGGGTGGTCCATGCCTTGGTCACCTCTAGATTGGACTACTGTAATGCGCTCTACGTGGGGCTGCCCTTGAAAACGGCTCGGAAATTCCAATTGGTCCAACGGGCAGCGGCCAGGATGTTAACTGGTGCTCCTTACAGAGAGAGGTCAACCCTCCTGTTTAAGGAGCTGCACTGGCTGCCGTTTATTTTCCGAGCCCAATTTAAGGTGCAGGTGCTTACCTACAAAGCCCTAAATGGTTTGGGACCATCCTACCTGCGTGACCGCATCTCCGTCTATGAACCCACACGTTCACTTCGTTCATCCGGAGAGGCCCTGCTCGTGATCCTGCCTGCGTCGCAGGCGTGCTTGGTGGGGACACGAGACAGGGCCTTTTCTGTGGTGGCCCCCCGACTCTGGAACACCCTCCCAAAAGATCTTAGACAGGCCCCTACATTGGCAGTCTTTAGAAAGAACTTGAAGACCTGGCCGTTCCGATGTGCCTTTCCAGAATAGGAATCTTCAATAACAAGTCCCAGAAGCACTTTATTAGAACTAAGATTGCTGCACTCTGCACACTGCACTTACCCTATAATCCTTACATAACACCTGTCACATCAGCACTTTTAATCTTGTACCCATTACCCTGGCCCGGCCCAGTTTTATAGTGTCTTGATGTATTGTGGTTAATATTGCTTTAACTGTTTTTAATTTGCTTTAGGTGTTGTATTGTTGTGTTGTGTTTTGAGGCCTTGGCCTATGTAAGCCGCATCGAGTCCTTCGGGAGATGCTAGCGGGGTACAAATAAAGTTAATAATAATAATAATAATAATAAATAATCTTGTTTCTTTGTCAGTGCTGATATAAAGATTGTCTGGTTTGCCTACTCTGGAACCTGCAACATATAATTGAACTTCTTTAGGGGTCCTTTTCAAATCTATGGTATTATATCTGACATAAACATGTATGTGTGTGCGCGCGCATGTGCGTGTGAATCATATATATTTATCTATATCTATGGCTGGATGGCACTTTGTCAGGAGGGCTTTATGTTTTCTTACCCTGGTGAAGGCAGTTGGACTGGATGACCTTAAGGCAGCATTTCTCAACCTGGGGTTTGGGACCCTGAGGGGGGGGTTGCGAGGGGGTGTCAGAAGGGTCACCAAAGACCACCAGAAAACACAGTATTTTCTGTTGGTCATGAGGGTTCTGTGTGGGAAGTTTGCCCCAATTCTGTCATTGGTGGGATTCAGAATGCTCCTTGATTGTAGGTGAACTATAAATCCCAGTAACTACAACTCCCAAATGTCAAGGTCTATTTCCCCCAAACTCCATCTGTGTTCATATTTGGGCATATTGAGTATTCGTGCCAAGTTTGGTCCAGATCCATCATTGTTTGAATCCGCAGTGCTCTCTGGAAGTAGGTGAACTACAACTCCCAAACTCAAGGTCAATGCCCACCAAACCCTTCTAGTGTTTTCTGTTGGTCATGGGAGTTCTGTGTGCCAAGTTTGGTTCAATTCCATCATTGGTGGAGTTCAGAATGCCCTTTGATTGTAGGTGAACTATAAATCCCAGCAACTACAACTCCCAAATGACAAATCATAATTTTTGAGTGATGGTCACTCCTTGTGCTGTGAGACGTTTTGTTGCCAAATTTGGTGTGATTTTGTTCATTGGTTCTTTTGTTTTTAAGGTAGTCATTATGCACAGAGCATTTATATATATATAGATGGACCATCAAATATTACCAATCACTTACATTCAAACTGATTCAGGCCCAAGCCTACAGGACACAATGGAGTCAAATTGCAGGAAAAGAGATTTCCACCTAAATATTAGGAAGAACTTCCCGATGGTTGGATTATCCAACAGTAGAATATGCTGCTGTCTGGGAATCTAATGAGATTTTCAAGCAGAAACTGGATGGCCATCTGTCGGGAGGGCTTGGATTGTGTCCTCCTGCCTGGAAGAAGGGCGATCGATTGGACGACCTCTTCCACCTCTATGATTCTATCATCATGCCCTGCTTAAACAGTATAGACACACTTCTCTTTGACAGATGAGCAACCATACCATTGGAGGACATACCATTCACACACAACTGCTTGAGTTTGAGAAAGGCAGACTGGATTTCTTGGATGTTTGGCAAAGCTTTGTCCAAGTCAGATTTATAAACGTCACTCCTCTGTGGATGGCTTCGGGTGACGGCATTGGAAATCCTAGCATTGGCAAAAGAGATTGGAGAAACTGAACAACAAACAGTGCAAAGGAGGCTGATTCAAACAAAATCCAGCCCCGGTCTACGATCCCCAGAGAACACGTGGAGAAGAACAGTGATGCCGTTCCTTACCGTTGATCTATCTTCCGCTGCTGCAAAGAATCCTTTATGTGGGCCATTCTCACAAGGGCGCTTCCATTGGAATGGTTCCAGCACCACATCTAGCAGAAGGGGAAACAGGAATGTTTCAAAGATGCAATTGCACCAAAGACTGTGGCGCACAAACGAAAAAAAGTCAGAAGGCTAAAACTTGGAAAACCAATTAGATGATCCAACAAATACTCCTGACCTCACAATCGTGTTAAAAAACAAAGTATGGATTGTCGATGTCGCAATCCCAGGTGACAGCAGGACTGCAGAGAAACAACTGGAAAAGCTGACACGATATGAGGATTTAAAGATCGAACTGCAAAGACTCTGGCACAAGCCAGTCAAGGGTCCCAGTGGTGATCGGCACACTGGGTGCAGTGCCTAGAGGCCTTGGCCTACACTTAAACACAATTGGCGCTGACAAGATTACCATCTGCCAGATGCAGAAGGCCACCTTACTGGGATATGCACGCGTTATTCGCCAATACATCACACAGTCCTAGACACTTGGGAAGTGTCCGACATGTGATCCAATACAACAGCCAGCAGAGTGTCTGCTGTGGACTCATCTTGTTGTGTTTCAAATAATAATAATAATAATAATAATAATAATAATAATAATAATATCATCATCATCATCATCACTTTATTTCTTAGTCACTCTCCACCAAAGTGCTCCGAGCGACTTACAATTTAAAATAGCTTATACACAATATAAAACATTCAATATAAAAACATTCAACATTCTGGAGCACAAGACTCCTGACCTCACAATTGTGTTAAAAAAGTATGGTTCGTTGATATCGCAATCCCAGGTGACAGCAGGATTGAAGAGAAACAACTGGAAAAGCTGACACGATATGAGGATTTAAAGATCGAACTGCAAAGACTCTGGCACAAGCCAGTAAAGGTGGTCCCAGTGGTGATCGGCACACTGGGTGCAGTGCCTAAAGACCTTGGCCTGCACTTAAACACAATCAGCGCTGATAAAATTACCATCTGTCAGCTGCAAAAGGCCACCCTACTGGTATCTGCATGCATTATTCGCTGATACATCACATAGTCATAATAATAATAATAATAATAATAATAATAATAATAACTATTATTATTATTAATAATAATAATAATAATAATAATAATAATAATAATACATTATCCACCTCTCTTTGTGGCTCAAGGTGAGATACAGCAGGGTTAAAACAGAATGATGAAACACAACACTATCAAGATACATATAACAAAGGCTGCAAATTCCTGAGAGGGAGAAAACTCTAACCCTAATAAATGGGTCTCAGAGCATATCAATCCCAAACTGTGTTGAAAATAAATAATTCACAAACTACAGCATTTTCTGCAAAGAAATATTATGTTCTCAGTCCAAAATCCTGCTTCTTGTGTAGAAAACACCACAAGCAAATTTTGTGTTTAATATGGCCTTGATTATGAATAATCTTTGCAATTCGCAGTTCTTGAAGACTTCTTGGAACAACATTATTCTCAAGTTGCTTGTTGTTTGGCTTGAGAACCCATTTGGCCAGGCATCACATCCTTAGTCGTGGATTGTATCACTTTCCTACTTACCGGCATCCGTCTCCCAATGAAGGAATGGGAATAGAGCTTTAGGTCTTGGTCCGCCAAAGACGAAGGCACCACAAAGTACTCTGGAAGACTTGGGGACAAAGCAAGGCAGATACATAAGAGTTTCTTGTGACATACAATTGAGAAAAATACTTAAAAACATAGCATTTCATATTCTGAGGTCGACATTTTGGGCTAACTTTGGAGTTCTCCTCACATGAAGAGCGTGGAAAGAAATGGCAGCCAGGTTTTTAAAATCCTTGTGTCTTATTGTTTATTGGTTATTGTTTATTTGTGATTTGTATTAATTGTATTGTATTTATTGTTTTTGTTTATTGCTTTGTTTTATTGATGTTATTGTGCTTGGCCTCATGTAAGCCGCTCCGAGTCCCTTGGGGAGATGGTGGTGGGGCATAAATAAATTATATTATTATTATTATTATTATCATCATCATCATCATCATCATCATCATCTTTGGAAGAAAGTTCAGAGTTACGTACCACCTCTTATATAAATAAAAAATGTCAAATCATAATGTAAGAAATAGACATTTGCAGGTGAAATGTTTGCCTTGTGGAGGTTTCTGGGTTTTAATCTATATAAATAAAAATGTAATGTTAGTTTGTGGGATTAACATAACTCAAAAACCACTGGGCGAATTGAAGCCAAATTTGGACACAAGACCCCTCTCAGGCCAACGAGTGACCATCACTTATAAAAACACTGAAAAACAGAGCAGAAGGGACTTATGCCGCCCTGAGTCGCCTTTGGGCTGATATGGGCGGGATAGAAATAACGTAAATAATAAATAATAAAAAAATAAAAAAGCCAAAAAATAAAAAACACATTACAACGCATGCGCAAAACCACATATATAAAGGCAAACACAGATATATACACATATACACAGATATATACACATATACACAGATATATATACACACAAAACACATATGTACACACATACACACATATGTACACATACACACACACAAAAGGAGCGCCCGGTGGTGCACTGGGTCTAAGCCCTGTCGCAGGTTCAAATCCGGGGAGAGGCAGATGAGCTCCCTCTATCAGCTCCAGCTCCTCATGCAGGGACATGAGAGAAGCCTCCCACAAGGATGATAAAAAAATCAAAAATCATCCGGGCGTCCCCTGGGCAACGTTCTTGCAGATGGCCAATTCTCTCACACCAGGAGCGACTTGCAGTTTCTCAAGTCACTCCTGACACGACAAAAAAATTAAAAACACACACACACACACAAAACACATATGTACACATATACACACACAAAACACATATGTATACATATACACACACAAAACACATACACACATATGTACACATATACACACACAAAACACATATGTACACATACTGGGCCACAGCAACGTGTGGCAGGGGATGGCTAGTAAATGAAAAAGTCTTTATTTATATCCCATTTTTCTCTTTCACGGGACCCAAAGCCGTTTGCTTAAAATCATGAAAACAAGAATCCATATGCATTTATAATATGTATAAAATTTATAAGTATAACAGGTATAAGTCAGTACGCTTCCTCGAAAGGCATTCCTCATCCAGAGCAAGAAGTTTTGTACGTTCATTTCTGACCCTCAATCCCAATGGGCTGCAATGGCATAAAAGAGCAGGCTCACCAGGTAGAGATCATGTAGCCTTCGTTGACGGAACAGACGCGCCATTCAGAGGCTCCGGTTCTCTTGATCTCTCGATCCCAGTCAGAGTACGTTTCAAACAATGGGGTCTGAGGGCCACCGCCACCTCCTCCAGGGTCTAAGCCATTCACCTTTTTGGCTACAAGGAAGTGAAACTGTATTTAAATTCCAAATACCACCATGCAAATGCCCAGAAAACAACACTGATTACAAAGATCAATGTTAGTTTACATAAGAGAAGCCAATCTCTCCCTCTTATTTTACCCTGGACACAGCTAAGACAAATACCATTTTTTTTATCTGTGATCCATCTCAAAACTGAAAGCAATATCACTATTGGGTTGCTGTGCGTTTTCCAGGCTGTCTGGCCATGTTCCAGAAGCATTCTCTCCTGACGTTTCGGCCACATCTATGGCAGGCATCCTCAGAGGTTGTGAGGTTAGTTGGAAACTTGAATTGTGTTGTCGAAAGCTTTCATGGCCGGAATCACTGGGTTGCTGTGAGTTTTCTGTGCTATCTGGCCATGTTCCAGAAGCATTCTCTCCTGACATTTCACCCACATCTATGGCAGGTATCCTCCTCAGAGGTTGTGAGGTCTATTGGAAACTAAGCAAGTGAGGTTTATGTATCTGTGGAATGTCCAGGGTGGAATAAAGAACTCTCATCTGCTGGAGGCAAGTGTGAATGCTTCAAGTGATCACCTTGATTAGCACTGAATAGCCTTACAGCTTCAAGGCTTGGCTGCTTCCTGTTTGGGGGAATCCATTGTTGGAAAGTGATTAGCTAGCTCTGATTGTTTCCTGTCTGGAATTCCCCTGTTTTTGAGTGTTCCTCTTTCTTTACTGTCCTGATTTTAAGAGTGTTTTTTATACTGATAGCCAGGAAACCATGAAAATGAACAAAATCTGGCTACCAGTGTTAAAAAAACTCTAAAAGGACAGTAAAGAGAGAGGAACACTCAAAAACAGGGGAATTCTCGGCAGGAAACAATAAAATGTTTTACATATGGTATTTAACGCCGGAACAACTGGCAAAATGTAACAAAGGAGGAAAGGAGAAGAAATGTTGGAATGCAAAAAAATTAAAAAAAATAAAGGAAATTTTATGCATATGTGGTGAAGTGCAAAGGTATTGGCTTTATTTTTATAAGAAAATAGAATCAATTCTCCACCAAAAATTTGAGTTTAAACCTGAGAATTGATTCTATTTCCTCTTAGGAATGACAGATTTTGAGATGGACAAAAGCAAGATTTTCATGTACCTGGTAACGGCAGCAAGGATTAGCCTGACCCAATTATGGAAAACACAAGGAACACCCACCATGGAACAATGGATTTTACAAGTAATGGATATTACGAACATGGACTTCCTAACACAAAAAAAATACCTCAGAATAATCTACAACCACAAAGAACAGACGGGGGAATATGTAAGGCATTTTTAAATAGAGAAAAGATAAAAACATAAATGTATAAATATGTGAGAGGAAGCCACAGGGAGGAGGGAGCAAGCTTGTTTTCTGCTTCCTTGGAGACTAGGACGCGGAACAATGGCTTCAAACTACAAGAAAGGAGATTCCATCTGAACATTAGGAAGAACTTCCTGACTGTGAGAGCCGTTCAGCAGTGGAACTCTCTGCCCCGGAGTGTGGTGGAGGCGCCTTCTTTGGAAGCTTTTAAACAGAGGCTGGATGGCCATCTGTAAGGGGTGATTTGAATGCAATATTTCTGCTTCTTGGCAGGGGGTTGGACTGGATGGCCCATGAGGTCTCTTCCAACTCTTTGATTCTATGATTCTATGATAGGAGGACGACAAAAGTAAAATTCAAAGATCGAATCTGTAATCCTGAAAATGCAGATTTTATAGCTCTGATTAGTATTGTAAATAGAGGCAGAAGGATGCATAATCATTCTGGTGCCTCCAAAGCCATTAAAAAAGATATTTGGTAGGAACTTGGAAGCCATTCAGAGAGAGAGAGCGAGAGAGAGAGAGAAGCAGCTTACAACACCTCTTCTCATGAAGATGTGAATATCTCCATTACCTGGGTTATTGTACTTCTTGCTCACATACTCAAACGCAAAGAGGAGCTGGAGATCCGCTGGCTGGGAATAATGGGCGATGGCAAGGCACACCTGAAAGAGGAAACAAAAAAACAAAGAGATGTGATCGATGGATAAAACTGGTCCCGTGAGTACAACATGAGCCCAAAGCCTTCTGAAGTGTGTGGCTTTTTTGGACTTCTGGCTTTGTTGCCAAAACTCTTTCAACAAGCCATTCTGAAGACTTTTGAATTCAACTCTCTGGCTTGATACGTTTCAATGGTCATAAAAAAATGGAAGAGTCTGGGCCAATCAATATATATAAAAACGTAATGTTCGTTTATGGGATTAAGATAATTCAAAAATCATTGGGCGAATTGGCACCATATTTGGACACAATACATCTATAAGGCCAATGAGTGACCATCACTCAAAAAAACATGGATTTGGTCATTTGGGAGTTGTAGTTGCTGGGATTTACAGTTCACCTACAATCCCAAGGTCAATGGCCACCAAACCCTTCAAGGGTTTTCTGTTGTTCATGGGAGTTCTGTGTTCCAAGTTTGGTTCAATTCCATCACTGGTGGAGTTCAGAATGTTCTTTGATTGTAGGTGAATTAGAAATCCCAGCAACTATAACTCCCAAATGACAAAACTAATCCCCACAACCCCAGCAGTATTCAAATTTGGGCATAATAGGTATTTATGCCAAATTTGGTCCAGTGAATGAAAATACATCCTGCATATCAGATATTTACATGACGATTCATAACAGTAGCAGAATTACAGTTATGAAGTAGCAACGAAAATAATGTTTTCACAACAGGAGGAACTGTATCAAGGGGTCGCTGCATTAGGAAGATTGAGAAACAGTGCTTTAAAGAAAGGCCTTCCGCTCTTTCTCCCTGTTATATAGTGAAAGGCTAAAATGCTCTTGCTAGCCATGCCATGCCTTTCCCCATGCTTCCTTTCTTGCTCTTGTGAGAAATACAAATGGAAGCCAAACGCCGTGGCTTGAAAACAACAAGCATCACATGGGAGATGCTTAAGGGAGGCTTTGCTTTCTGACTAAAAGCCCGGTTTGTTCACTGCTTTCACCCCAGAGCAACGCAAGGGCACACACTGGAGCTTTTGTCAAGGGTTTTAATGCAAGCAGTTTCTTAATGTCAGATTGGAAGTAGGAGGAATGCCAGAGAAGGAGAAAGGTCATTTTATTTCCCCGCCTGCCAGGAGGAAACATTTCAACCATTCATCATTGCCCAAGAACTCCTTAGTGGGGAAAGGGGGAAATGTATTGTTGAAGGCTTTCATGGCTGGAATTACTGGTTGTTGTAGGTTTTTTCGGGCTGTATGGCTATGTTCTAGAGGCATTCTCTCCTGACGTTTCGCCTGCATCTATGGCAAGCATCCTCAGAGGTTGTGAGGTCTGTTGGAACTAGGAAAATTGGGTTTATATATCTGTGGAATGACCAAGGTGGGACAAAGAACTCTTGTCTGTTGGAGCCAGGTGGTTGTTCTGACATGGTGGTTGTTCAACTTCAACTTCTCTGGCTGAAGTAGGGACCATCAAACGCAGCTCTGCCCAAACACGAATCAAGGAACATGAAAGGCATTGCGGACTACTTCAACCACAGAAGTCAGCCATAGCAGAGCACCTGATGAACCAACCTGGACACAGCAGATTATTTGAGAACACAGAAATGCTGGAACACTCTCGCAACCACCATGTCAGACTACACAGAGAAGCCAATGAAATCCACAAGCATGTAGATAATTTCAGCAGAAAGGAGGAAACCATGAAAATGAAGAAAATCTGGCTATCAGTATTTAAAAAAATCTAAAATTACAACAGTAAAACAACAGTGAGGAAACAATCAGAGACAGCTAATAACCTCTCAACAAAAGATTGACCCAGGCATTAACAAGCCACACCAAAAAACTGCCAGGCCATGAAATGCTAATCAAGGTGGTCAATTGAAACATTCACACCTAGCTCCAACAGACAAGAGTTCTTTGTCCCACCCTGGTCATTCCACAGATATATAAACCCAATTTTCCTAGTTCCAACAGACCTCACAACCTCTGAGGAGAAGAAATGAGATTTTGGACAGATGATATGTAAAAATTGTGGCTTGAGACGGGTGGAGGGGAGCACTGTGGTGGAAATAAAAAGGGGGAAAATGTTTAAGCAAAACAATAAAATAACATGTTAAAGAGTGTGTTGTACAAAATGTAAGAGTAATAACAAATGTATAACAAATGTAGTAATTGTGATAAATCAATAAAAATTATTATAAAAAAAAACAACCTCTGAGGATGCTTGCCATAGATGCAGGCGAAACATCAGGAGAGAATGGCTCTAGAACATGGCCATACAGCCCAAAAAAAACCTACAACAACGAAAGGGGGAAACGCTGGTTGAAGCTCACCACCTTACAAGCTTAGCTGCCCCTATCTTTCTATTCCTCATCATATCAGGAAAGGAGGGAGCATGAAGCCGGGGGCTAGCTTCTCTCCCATGCACAAACACACCCACACAGGGGCCTTGTTGCAATGCCGATACAAGATACCTAGCTTGACCTGTGGCTTTCCAGGAGTCCTCACTGTTTCGGCTACTGTCTTTGCTTCTTTTATGGCAGCCTTTTTGTTAAACAGAGGGGATGAAATGCATAAAGTAAACATAAAGGTTTCCCCTGACATGAAGTCTAGTTGCGTCCGACTCTGAGGTTGGTGCTCATCTCCATTCCTAGGCCAAAGAGTCGCCGTTGTCCGTAAACACCTCCAAGATTATGTGGCCGGCATGACTACATGGAGTGTTGTTACCTTCCCGCAGAAGTGGTACCGACTGATTTACTCACACTTGCATGTTTTCGAACTGCAAGGTTGGCAGAAGCTGAGCCTAACAGCGGGAGCTCACCCCACTCCCTGGATTTGAACCGCCAACTTTTCAGTCAGCAAGTTCAGCAGCTCAGTGGTGTAACCCGCTGGGGGGGGGGGGGCGCTGCAATGCATATTGTGGATCAATATACAGTATTCCCTTGCTACTTCGCAGTTCACTTTTCGCAGACTTGCTGTTTTTTCACTGAATCTATATAAATAAAAATGTAATGTTCGTTTGCGGGATTAACATATCTCAAAAACCACTGGATAAATTGACATGAAAAGAGTTCTTTCTCTCACCCTGGTCAATCCAGATATATAAGCCTCCCTTGCTTAGTTTCCAAAAGACCTCACAACCTCTGAGGATGCCTGCCATAGATGCGGGTGAAACATTAGGAGAGAATGCTTCTGGTACATGGCCACGCAGCCCAGAAGACTCACAGCAACCCAGTGATTCCGGCCATGAATGCCTTCGACAACACAAACTTAAAAATAAACCATTTCCTCCGAAGTTGCTGACTAAATTCTTCCGCAGCCTCTGCTTTGGTGGCACTTCCCTCCTCAGCTTCCTCTTCCCCACCGGACCAGGCTTTCTTCGGAGATGCTTCCGATAGGGTTTGACAGCAGCAGAAACAGCTGAACCACACACTTAAGGAAGACCAGACTTTGCATTCTCAAATGTCTCTTATTGGCACACTAGCCGTCCCCAGCATGTGTATATGTGTTTTGTGTATGTATATATGCATATAGGTGTGCATATATATTTGTGTATATGTATGTTTATATGTGTGTTTGTGTATATATGTGGTTTTGCGCATGCATTGTAATTTTTTTTGTTTTTTGGCTTTTGAAGCCCCTTCTGCTGTGTTTTTCAGTGTTTTTATGAGTGATGGTCACTCGTTCACCTGATAAGTATCTTGTGTCCAAATTTGGTGCCAATTTGCCCAGTGGTTTTTGAGTTACGTTAATCCCACAAACGAACATTACATTTTTATTTATATAGAAGAGGCAATCAAAATGTTTTAAACGCAGTAAGAATAATTTTTCTTGCCCCTTTTCCATACACAGAAGTTATGCCACCCAAAAAGCAACCACTTGCAGGGCATAAGATTCCAGGAAATGGCTAACAGGATCTATAATGAAGAAATTAATTCCCCAATGTGTATTTTTTGTTTTTTGGCTTGTTAAGTCTCTTCTGCTGTGTTTTTCAGTTTTTCTATGAGTGATGGTCACTTGTTGGCCTGATAGGTGTCTTGTGTCCAAATTTGATGTCAATTCGTCCAGTGGTTTTTGAGTTATGTTAATCCCACAAACAAACATTACATTTTTATTTATGTGTGTATATATATGTGTGTGTGTGTGTGTGTATCTAATAATATTACAGTATAATGTTATAGTACAATGTAATATATAATATTAATATTGTGCTATGGTAATAATTTAATATATTGTATTAACTTTTTACTTGTAAGCCACTCTAAGTTCCCTTCGGAGTGAGAAGGACGGCATATAAATGTTGTGAATAAATAAATAAATATATATGTGTGTATATATGTGGTTTGTGCATGCATTGTAATGTATTTATTATTTTCTGGCCTTTTAAGTCTCTTCCACTATGTTTTTCAGTGTTTTTTGAAACTAGGCATGGTTCTAACTTGAATAAAGGATGTGGAGGGGTGCCAGGGTTGCAAAAAACGCACTGCCTAGTTCCTTTTTCTATTTTACATTGCCAGGCACAGCATTTCTAACACAAGATTAGCAAATCTGCTGTCAGCAATCCCATGTGTACCCATGGGGATGAATTGGACGGGGAACATTAGCTTTGCTGCAGAGATGAGGAAGCCAATGGCACCATGGCAGCCCTGTCTTTTGGGTTCTGTCTCCCCAGAATTGGCAGCGGGACCCAGCTCCACACTAAGAAAACGTCCAGAGGGAGGCCAAAACTGGCCATGTAAATAGCTCTAGCAATTTATTGGCAGTTTATCTTTGAAGAGAAAAAGCCCTCAAGGCCTTCTTCCTCTTTCATGAGGAAATGGGAAAAGATTTCAAGCCTCTCGCTTGGAGGCAAATACCACGGCAAAGGAACAGTGCAGGGAGCATAGAAAAGCCCTAGACAAACTGTTAAGCAAGAAAGCATGATCAAACTCAACCCTCAAAATGTGTGGAGAAGAGCAGACCACAGTCCACCTATTACAATGCAGCCTGAGCCCTGCCACATGCATGATGGAGGACCTTCTAACAGCAACACCAGAGGCACACCAAATGGTCAGCTACTGGTCAAAGGACATTTAATATAAACTCTTGTATTTTACACACACATTACAACTGTACCTTCAGTTTGCTTCCTATACAATAAATATAGCTTAGCTTAGATTTTTAAATTACTATAATTATCTTACCGTCCTAACAACGATACACTTATTTTAAAGTTTTAAATCTATTAACCCTTAACTCTGATATGCTTCCACGGGACTATGTCCTTCTTCTCTCGAACTGGTCAATGACCATAATAAAGTGAACCTGACCTTGAACTATGTTTTTAATGTAGATGTGTTGTACTCCACTTCAAGTCTTGCGGAGAGGAGCAAGTAGCAAATAATAATAATAATAATAATAATAATAATAATAATTTATTTGCTACTATAATAATCTATTATTATTATTAAGTAGCAGCCCCCAGTGGCGGAATGGGTTAAACCCTTGTACTGGCAGGACTGCTGGCAGACAGGTCAGCAGTTAGAATCTGGGGAGAGCATGGATGAGCTCCCTCTGTCAGCTCCAGTTCCCCATGTGGCATGAGAGAAGCCTCTCACAAGGATGGTAAAATATCTGGGCGTCCCCTGGGCAATGTCCTTGCAGACAGCCAATTCTCTCACACCAGAAGTGACTGCAGCTTCTCAAGTAGCTCCTGTCAATATATATATATATATATATATATATATATACACACACACACACACACACACATATACATATACATACATATACATATATACACACACACCCACACACACATACACACACAAGTTGTACCGCCAACCCTCCCTCCCTCTTTCTCTCCTTTCTTCCCTCTTTTTCTTTCCCTTCTCTACCTGTGTCTTTCCTAGCTTCCTTTGCTCTGTGGTTTCATCCTTCCTGTTGGTCACTTGTTGGCCTGATAGGTGTTTTGTGTCGAAATTTGGTGTCAATCTGTGCAGTGGTTTTTGAGTTATGTTAATCCCACAAACAAACATTACATTTTTATTTATATAGATATATATATGGCAGCAACAAACCAGGACAGTTGTCATAACAAGAATACGAAACAGGTTAAACGCGCGTTTCCAGACCCAAGTAAGCATATGCAGAAATGAAGACAATGCAACCAATTTACCATGTCTGAAACAAGGTGCAAAAGAAAATGTCTATGGAAAGAAGCCTGTGGTATTGCCCTTATGATATTGGGCATGTTGCATCTGACTGTGAATGCTCTTATAATACACCCCAAGCCTCATGCTCCATCTGCAAAGTCTGCTCCTATGGCCATAACATGCCATACATGCTGCCTAGTGTGTTAGTGCCAGGAAAGTATTCAGAAGTCTATTTGTTCCTGCATTCCTTGGCAGTCATCAGCATTGTAAGCTTTTCCAATTACCTATTTTAGGCCTGAAAACGCATTCAAGAAGGCATTGGCTCTTCCCATGCCTCCTTTTCCGGGTGTTAGATATTTACAGTGTCCACCTGGAAGAAAACATTGCCAGTGCAAGGTTTTGGCTCAGTGTTAACCATGCTGAGAAATTTAAAATGAGAGAGGGAAAGTATATGAATAGATGCCACACTGAATGGCCTTCTTGTTCTCCTTTTGGCCAAGCCCAAACATTCATCCAGCAGTTTTTAAACAAGCAAAGAATGCCCAGCATCTGCCAGAGAAAACGCCTGACTCTGACTTTCCAGGAGCGACGTGTGAATTTTCATGTCCTATTGGGTTAAAGGACAGCAAGTGTCTGAATGGATGTAACCTTCAGTTTCCATCTCTAACAACAACATCTTGATTATTTTTTTCTGTGTCAGGAGCAACTTGAGAAACTGCAAGTCGCTTCTGGTGTGAGAGAATCGGCCGTCTGCAAGGACATTGCCCAGGGGACACCCAGATGTTTTTACGATCCTTGTGGGAGGCTTCTCACATGTCCCCGCATGGGGAGCTGGAGCTGACAGAGGGAGCTCATCAATGCTCTCCCTGGATTTGAACCTGCGACATGCCAGTATAAGGGTTTAATCCATTGGGCCACTGGGGGCTCCATCTTGGCTATTGAAACAACTATTTATTTATTTATTGTATTTATATTCTACCCTTCTCACCCCGAAGGGGACTCAGGGAAGATCACAGAACACGTATACAGCAAATATTCAATGCCGTTATAAACTGACAGGACAGACACAGTACATAGAGGTATATAGGCTTTTCTCATCTTCGGCATCTTGTAGGTTGCGCTCGATTCTGACCACGGGGGGGGGGGGTGCTTTCGCTCCATCCACCATGCTGAAGAACCCTGTTCACAGACTTCCTCCTTTAATTGAACCACCAGCATTTTTCTGGTATTTCCTTATGATGCCATTAAAATACCTCCCCCCCTTAAGCGATACCTATTTATCTACTCTCAGCTATTCTAGTTGGGCAGTGAGCTGGGCTTATTTTATTTATCGTGTCAGGAGCAAACCAAACAGTTGTATTGCATTTTTTAACAAACAAACAATGCACAAAGTTTGAAAGCTTAGTAGTTGATTAAATGTTCTTTGACCAGTAGCTGACTACTTGGAGTGCCTCTGGTGTTACTATAAGAAGGTCCTCCATTGTGCATGTGGCAGGGCTCAGGGTTGCATTGCAGCAGGTGGTCAATGGTATGCTCTTCTCCACACTCGCATGTCGTGGATTCCACTTTGTGGCCCCATTTCTTAAGGTTGGCTCTGCATCTCGTGGTGCCAGAGCGGTCTATTCAGTGCCTTCCAAGTCGCCCAGTTTTCTGTGTGCCCAGGGGGGGGAGTCTCTCATTTGGTATCAGCCATTGTTTGAGGTTCTTGGTTTGAGCCTGCCACTTTTGGACTCTCGCTTGCTGAGGTGTTCCAGCGAGTGTCTCTGTAGATCTTAGAAAACTATTTCTTGATTTAAGTCGTCGACATGCTGGTTGATATCTAAACAGGGGATGAGCTGGAGATGTCACTGCCTTGGTCCTTTCACTATTGGCTGCTACTTCTCGGCGGATGTCAGGTGGTGCAATACCGGCTTAACAGTGTAATTTCTCCAGTGGTGTAGGGCGCAGACACCCTGTGATAATGCAATATGTCTCATTAGGAACCACATCCACTGTTTTAGCGTGGTGAGATGTGTTCCACACTGGGCATGCATAATCAGCAGCAGAGTAGCATAGCGCAAGAGCAGATGTCTTCACTATATCTGGTTGTGATCCCCAGGTTGTGCCAGTCAGCTTTCGTATGATATTGTTTCTAGCACCCACTTTTTGCTTGATGTTCAGGCAGTGCTTCTTGTAGGTCAGAGCACGGTCCAGAGTGACTCTCAGGTATTTGGGTGCGCTGCAATGCTCCAGTGGGATTCCTTCCCAGGTAATCCTCAGACCTCGGGAAGCTTGTCTGTTCTTAAGGTGAAAGGCACATGTTTGTGTTTTAGATGGATTAGGGATCAACTGATTTTCCCTATAATAGGCAGTTAGAGCCTAAAGCTTCGGAGAGCTTCTGTTCAGCCATCTCAAAGCTCCCTGCTTGAGTGGTGATGGCACAATCATCAGCATAGATGAAACTCTCTGTCCTTTCTGGCAGTGGCTGGTCATTTGTGTAAATGTTGAATATTTATTTATTTATTTATTTACTTTATTTGTATACCGCTGTTCTCAGCCCTTAGGCGACTCACAGCGGTTAACAACAGAACAGCAAAAATTCAATGCTACAACAACACGGTATATAAAAACAATTAACATCATAAACACATTAAACAATTAGCAGCAGTAACCATTCACTGGCATCTCATAACTAAAACATGATCCAGATTGATCGAGCAAGTGAGCTGGGCTGAAGGTTGGGCAGTCGCCCCCAATCCTGGCTTTGAACTGACAACCTTTTGATTAGCAAGATTTATTGCAGCTGGTGGTTAACTTGTTGTGCTAAAGCCCAGCCTTGACTATTTTGATACACGATCTGATCAGGAGATTTGAAATCAGACTAAAATAATAATAATAATAATAATAATAATAATAATAATAATCTTTATTTATATCCCACCACCATCTCCCTGATGGGGACTCGGAGCGGCTAACCTGATGCCAAGCCCAAAAACACAATATAGCACAATAAAATACAGAAGGCAGAGAACAAAAAATTACATCTGAAAATAGTTACAGTAGCAAAATAAAATAAATAAAGCAAATTACCGCAAAACAAAATCAAACAGGATGGGCAGGCCAAATGGACGAGATAAAATGATAAAACCCTGGGTGGGGTAGGGAAAATATGTAAGTGAGGGGAGCCCAAGAAGGATAAAACAGTGGGGTAAGGCTTTCCATTTAGGATGGGGGAAAGTACATCGTAGGGATCCCCTCTTCCCAACTGAAGTCTTTGCGCAGTGCTCCCTATAACTTTATTATCTTCAGGTGGTTCAAGTCACTTTTGGCTACAAATTTAATAAAGGAATAATCAGACATTCAAGACAACCCCCTCCCTACCCCCAGCATCCACCAAGGTACCTTTTTTGCACTTTCGGGTCCCGCCTCATCAAAACGAAACCGGACAATACGAAAGTCTTTGCAGTATATGATCAGTTCCGTTGGATTAAACTTAAGCTTTTGATTCGGGCCCAGGACTTTCTGCTTCCTCTTTGTATCATTCACTGGAAAACACAGAATGCAAGGGAAGTGAAACGCTTTTAGAGAAAGCGAACACACGCAAGACAAAAGATAATCTCTACTAGTGTGCACTGAAGTATGAATAAACGCAACAAATTCTGGCCCAACTTACCTGTCCGAACGCATCTCCGCTTATATGAACCCTCCAGGACTTTAAGCTCATCTGGGGAGGCCCTGCTCTCAGTCCCACCTTTGTCACAAGTACAGCTGGTGGGGACGAAAGACAGGGCCTTCTCAGTGGTGACCCCTCAGCTATGGAACACCCTCCCTAAGGATATCAGATCGCCCCCGTCCTTTCTAACATTTTGAAAGAGAGTCAAGACTTGGCTCTTTGAGCAGGCATTTCCAAATAGTGTAATAGACAAAGGGAAATGGAATTGTTGGGCGATGTGATTGGACAATGTTTTTAATAGGATACCTTAATGTTCATGTTTTTAATGATTTTGTTATGGTTTTATTATCTGACTAGCTGTCCCCTGCCACGTGTTGCTGTGGCACGGTCTGTTGATCTGGGAAATAAAGTAATGAGAAAATGTTGGTTTCTAATATATGTAATTTTTATGCTGGTGTGTAAACAGTATTTCTTGCTTTCTTTGTCAGTGTTGATGTAGAGATTGTCTGGTTTGCCTACTCTGGAACATTGTGCTTCTTTAGGGGTCCCTTTCAAATGTTTGATACTATATCTCTCTGTGTGTGAATCATATCTATCTATATCTATGGCTGGACGGCTCTTTGTCAGGAGGACTTTGCTTACATTTCTTGCCCTGATGAAGGGAGTTGGACTGGATGGCCTTAAGTATTTTCTGTTTGTCATGGGGGTTCTGTGTGGAAAGTTTGCCCAATTCTGTCATTCATGGGTTCAGAATATTCTTTGATTGTAGGTGTACTATGAATCCCAGTTATTACAACTCCCAAATGTCAAGGTCTATTTCCCGCACACTCCATCTGTGTTCATATTTGGGCGTATTGAGTGCTTGTGTCAAGTTTGGTCCAGATAGATCATTGTTTGAGTCCACAGTGCTCTCTAGATGTAGGTGAACTACAACTCCCAAACTCAAGGTTAATGCCCACCAAACCCTTCCAGTATTTTCTGTTGGTCATGGGAGTTCTGTGTGCCAAGTTTGGTCCAATTCCATCGTTGATGGAGTTCAGAATGCTCTTTGACTGTAGGTGAACTATAAATCCCAGCAACTACAACTCCAAATGACAAATTATAATGTTTTGAGTGATGGTCACTCCTTGTGTTGTGAGACGTTTTGTTGCCAAATTTGGTGTGATTTGGTTCATTGGTTCTTCTGTTTTTAAGGTACTCATTATGCACAGAGCATTTATATATATATAGATTGTTTTTATTGTATGGAAATTGTATTTTATGGTCTTGGCACCAATTGTAAACCGCCCTGAGAGGGACAGTATATAAATATAGTAAATAAATAAATAACAAATTGCTGCAGTTGTGATGCATCACAAAAGACCGTCCAATTATAACATTGCGAACTCACTAACTGATATCAGTACTAGTCCACACCTCTTGCATTCCAGAGTGATGTATGACATACGACGCACGACGCTGCGTCCATTTGTTCTATACACTTGATTTATGACCTCTCTAGGAATGCCGTTCCCTCCATGGTTCAGCTAACTCTTTCCACACAGGAATACATTACACTTGGCACATAGCTACTTCATTTAAACATACATACATACATACTTTGGAATCTACATTATAAATCACAAACAGCTTCAACAGATATAAATAAAGTTTTATTATTATTTATTATTCTTACTGACAAAAAGAAGCACATTATTTATTTATTTTTATTTATTTACTATATTTGTATACCGCCCCTCTCAGCCTTCCGGCGACTCAAAGCAGTTTACAAGGCAAAATTCAATGCCACAAAAACACAAGTACAATTTAAAAAACATCAATAAAATCATAACAATAGCAATAAAACATAAGTCAATAAATCCTCATTAAAAAAAAACATTGTCCACATTATAACCACATCACATCCAACTGTTTCACACATACCTGTGACTATTTGCTCAATGCATGTTAATGCAACATCATGTTCTCCCAAGAGAAGGTTCCTGTACTGGAACTTCTGCAAAACAAAATATAAACTCACAATAAATACAAGGTTTGGTGATGGATTAAGATATAATCCTAAAATCTCAAAAGTTCAGCTCTCTTACTATATAGAGCAAAGAAGGAATTTGTTCCAATGGTGAGCAGTTATAAATACCCAAGAGGTGAGGTATTTAGACTATGTGAAAGATAGAAACAAACAATTGTGAAGTAGTAAAGCTTTTAGCTATCTGTGAGCATCAGGCGAGATTTCGGAGGCAGAAAGGTTTGAAGGAGCACCAGGACTGTGGCACAGCTGGCTGGGAGTCAGCTGCATTAAGATCACTACTCACCAAAAGGTCATGAGTTCGAAGCTAGCCTAGGTCGGAGTGAGCTTCCAACCAATTTTGTGTAGCTTGCTGTCGACCTTTCCAGCCAGAAAGATAGTTGCATCTATCAAGTAGGAAATTTAGGTACCGCTTATGCGAGGAGGCAAATTTAACTAATTTACAAGGCCATAAAAATCTCCAGCAAGCATGTAAAGAATGAGGAAGTATTTCATCAGTGTCACAAATGGTCGGTGAAGGGACAACTTCCCTGGCGGCCAGAATACCCTCAAAACGATCTTGACAGATTAGAGAGATGGGCCAAGACTAACAAAATGAAGTTCAACAGGGACAAATGCAAGATACTCCACTTTGGCAGGAAAAACGAAATGCAAAGATACAGAATGGGGGACGCCTGGCTCGAGAGCAGTACGTGTGAAAAAGATCTTGGAGTCCTTGTGGATAACAAGTTAAACATGAGCCAACAATGTGATGTAGGGGCAAAAAAAAAAAAAACCAATGGGATTTTGGCCCATCAATAGGAGCATAGTGTCTAGATCTAGGGAAGTAATGCTACCCCTCTATTCCACTTTCGTTAGACCACACCTGGAATATTGTGTCCAATTCTGGGCACCACAATTCAAGAGAGATATTGACAAGCTGGAATGTGTCCAGAGGAGGGCGACTAAAATGATCAAGGGTCTGGAGAACAAGCCCTATGAGGAGCGGCTTAAGGAGCTGGGCATGTTTAGCCTGAAGAAGAGAAGGCTGAGAGGAGATATGATAGCCATGTATAAATACGTGAGAGGAAGGGAGGAGGGAGCAAGCTTGTTTTCTGCTGCCCTGGAGACTAGGACGCGGAACAATGGCTTCAAACTACAAGAGAGGAGATTCCATCTGAACATGAGGAAGAACTTCCTGACTGTGAGAGCCATTCAGCAGTGGAACTCTCTGCCTCGGAGTGTGGTGGAGGCTCCTTCTTTGGAAGCTTTTAAACAGAGGCTGGATGACCATCTGTCAGGGGTGATTTGAATGCAATGTTCCTGCTTCTTGGCAGAGGGTTGGACTGGATGGCCCATGAGGTCTCTTCCAACTCTTTGATTCTATGATTCTAAGAAAATCTGGAATGTTAAATTGCCTCTGTGTCCGTCTATAAATGCTGTGTGTCTATGGCATTGAATGTTTGCCATATATATGTACATTGTAATCCGACCTGCGGGGTGAGAAGGGTAAAATATAAATACTGTAAATAAAATAAATAAAAATTATGTGTGCCACAAATAGAACATACAGTGAAGCCATGGAACATTGGCCATTGCAGGACAATGGAGTTGCTCGTTTTTGTTGCATAAGGTGGTCTAGGAATATTAAGCGGTGCCACAGTAAACAGTCCAAGCTGCTAGGTTCAAGGGTCTTTGTTTCAGATTTATGCCTGTCAGGATTTGGGATTATGGAGGCAAACCGTATTTGTATTCTAGCATTCAACAAAAAGAGAGGCAAACCAACCTGAAGTGGCGTGGGATCTTCTGTAATGAAGGAGATCTTGAAATTGGTGCAAACCAGTTTCCCCCAGAGATCGTACTGGCTGGTGTCCGTTGCGATACATTTCCGCACAAAGTTCACGTCATTCACCACAATTTCACCTTTGAAAAATAAAAATTCAATGTCCATTCAACTGCAGTTGAAATAGAAGACCATTCTTACCAGCAACCTGAGATTTAGGAACTAAATAAACTGACCCGAATATAAGCCGAGGCACCTAATTTTACCACAAAAACCTGAGAAAACGGATTGACTCGAGTGTAAACTGAGGGTGGGAAATGCAGCCGCTACTGGTAAATTGCAAAATAAAAATAGATACCAATTAAATTACATTAATTGAGGAATCAGTAGGTTATATTTTTTTGAATATTTATAAAAATGGTAATTTAAGATAAGACTGTCCAACTCTGATTAAATGATTATTTACCTTCTTCAATGTAAATGTGCTTACGTATCCTTCCAATAATAATAGAGTGACATAATAAATGTAATAACAATAATAAAAAGAGTAAAATAATGAATGTAGCAATAACAACAATTATACAGTAACAATAAAGTAAATGATAAATGTAATAATAATAAATAGAATAAAATAATAAATGAAATGATAACAACAACAACAACAACAGAGTAAAATAATAAATAACCTTGACTCGAGTATAAGCCGAGGGGGACTTTTTCAGCCTAAAAAAAGGGCTGAAAAACTAGGCTTATACTCAAGTATATACAGTACCCATGTTAATCTGTATCAACACAAGAAGGACAGCAGGAAGAGAGAGAGATTGCCTGCGGATTTGGAGGTCTTACCTGTATAATTAAGACTACTATTGTGAAACACAGCAATCAACTTGCTATGAGCCTCCATCCTGTTTCCTACACACCATACATCATTCTCCCCCAATGCTAAGAATGTCAGGAGGACGAATGAATGGCCATTAATTTCCCCCAGTTTTCTACAGCAGTGGTTCCCAACCTTTTTATGTCCTGGGACCACTTTGACCAGGGACCACTAATACCTGGTCAAGTGAATATAAGTACTAAAAGAATTACGAATCAGTTTTTGGTCAACTTTAGATTCAGTTTGGTTATTTGAGGTGCTGATTCAGAAAATTGCATTGGATAGACCACATCAGCTCTAGTTTCTGATACAGAACATATGCCATCCAAGTAGTCGTCATCTGCTTGCCCACAGAAAATCATATTTAATAAGCTAGAGCTGATACGGTAGGAATAATCTTTCGTGGGTAGTCAGCCTCTTCCCTCCCGACATCCCCATTGCCTCAGCACTCGAAGAGGGTTTCGTGAGACCAGTCATTCTCTTTGCTGCGTGGTCCCGAGGCAACGGTGTAGACCACTGGTGGTCCATAGACAACAGGTTGGGAACCATTGGCTTAGGGTGATCACATGAATTTTGTAGGGGTTTTCCTAGGTGGTTTTTCAAGTTCCTTCCTCTGAAATATAGCCTATAGCACCTGGTAGGCAAGTGTTTATCATCATCTGTTAACTGCAAGTAATAAACAGAACCTATTAATCAGGAAGTTCCCATCTGGAGGAATGCCAGCCATTGTGGCACCTTAAGTAAATTACAACAAAATAAAATGAGTCCAGGGATAGGAAATATTCATTCACACCTGACTTCTAAATATGGGAATCCTTCAGTAGCTTCTCTTCAAAGGTAAAATTAACTTTAAATTATCTCTTAACTATGGCTAGCACCTATCTGTAGAATGAAGCCTGCCCCCTGATCACCTTGTGGTTCATTTATTTATTTATTTATTTATTCACGACCTTTATATGCTGCCTTTCTCACCCCGAAAGGGACTCAGAGCAGCTTACAAGATACATATATACATCCAATATATTCTATTATTAACATAGTACAATATTAGTATTATATATTACTATATAGCATTATGCCATTATATTGTAATATTATTAGTAATATTAAATGTAATATAAATAACTATAATATCATATTATTATTAGTAGTAGTAGTAGCATTATATTTTATTATATTATAATATAAATATTATATGCATAAACAATATATTATATTGTATTACTTAGGCGATCCCTCATTTTCTGAGGAGGATTGTCTTCCAGTGTTCTTGTGGGTCCGTATGTGGCTGTGGAGCCCTATTCTTGACCTGCATCTTCTTCCGCAGTGAGGGCATTGGCTTCCAGGTGGAAGGCGGTCTCGGTCGGGGTTGGCTTGACACGCCTTCCTCTTGGCACCCTTCTCCCTTTCACCCTCCATTCGTGCCTCTTCAAATTCTGCAGCACTGCTGGTCACAGCTGACCTCCAGCTGGAGCGGTCAAAGGCCAGGGCTTCCCAGTTCTCAGTGTCTATGCCAGAGTTTTTAAGGTTGGCTTTGAGCCCATCTTTAAATCTCTTTTCCTGCCCACCAACATTCCGTTTTCCGTTCTTAAGTTCGGAGTAGAGCAGCTGCTTTGGAAGACGGTGGTCGGGCATCCAGACAAGGTGGCCGGTCCAGCGGAGTTGATGGCGGAGGACCATCGCTTCAATGCTAGTGGTCTTTGCTTCTTCCAGCACACTGACGTTTGTCCGCCTGTCTTCCCAAGAGATTTGCAGGATTTTCCAGAGGCAGCGCTGATGGAATCGTTCCAGGAGTTGCATGTGGCGTCTGTAGACAGTCCACGTCTCACAGGCATATAGCAGGGTTGGGAGGACAATAGCTCTGTAAACAAGCACCTTGGTATCCCTATGGATGTCCCGGTCCACAAACACTCTCTGCTTCATTCAGAAAAATGCTGCACTCGCAGAGCTCAGGTGGTGTTGTATTTCGGTGTCAATATTATATTATATTATATTGTATTATATTATATTATATTATTGGCATAGTACAGAAGACAGGATGGAACTGTCTCCTGGCCCCCCCCCCCTCTCTTCACTCTGTCCCAGAGTAGCAACTGGTGCTGGGCGGAGGGGTCCCCAACTAATGACATATGCAGGAGACAAGATGGAACTGTCCCCTGGCCCCCTCTCTCTTCACTCTGCCCCAGAGTGGCAATTGAAAGGGGAGAAAGGGTCCCTAACTGATGACATAGGCAGGAGACAAGGTGGAACTGTCCCCTAGCCCCCTCTCTCTTCACTCTTTTTTCATTTCTTTTAAAGATGGAAGCAGTTTAGGTTTACAGTAATGATAACATCAAAAGTGGATTGTTGTAGGTTTTTTCGGGCTATATGGCCATGTTCTAGAGGCATTTCTCCTGACGTTTCGCCTGCATCTATGGCAACCATCCTCAGAGGTAGTATAGCCCGAAAAAACCTACAACAACCCAGTGTTTCCGGCCATGAAAGCCTTCGACAATACATTGAACATCAAAAGTGTTACCTTTCCAAAATATTTACTCCTGAAATGAATCTACATGGCCTTTCAAGGGCAACGAGTCATTGCTTGTGACGCTGGCTTCATACCGGACTACACTGGCAATTCCCTGCTTTTCTCGACCCAATCTGAAATGCTACCTTTCTCCCTAAAAGCCTTTGGATCTGGTCATCAGAAGGATGGCCGGAAACAAGAAACTGACCTGCAAAAATTTCTTCACCTTTTGGGGTCAGTTTCACTGGGGAAAGGTGAGCGGAAAAGCTATTTCCAGGTGTATATACTGGCAATAAAGCTTTCTCTGTTAAATTCTCTTCCTGTTTTGAAAGGGCAATCTACTCCAAGTGTCAGACAGTGGCCAGTTGTGGGTGGCTCAAACAGGCAAAGGTCAGGTGCAAGGAACAAGAGAGTAGGCAGAATTAAAGTCAGCTAAAAAGGGGAGGGAAAGCTAGAAATATATCCCACTAGCCGTCCCCTGCCACGCGTTGCGGTGGGTCAGTTTGAGAAAGTGTTGGTTTCTCGTATAGGTAATGTCTTTATGCTTGTGGGTAAACAGTATTTCTTGCTGTTTCTTTGTCAGTGTTGATGTGGAGTTTGTCTGGTTTGCCCACTCGGGAACATGCAACACCTTATTGTCCTTCTTTAGGGGTCTATGATACTATATCTGTGTGTGTGTGTGTGTGTGTTTGTGTGTGTGAATCATATCTATCTATCTATCTATCTATCTATATATATATATCTATAGCTGGATGGCTCTTTGTCAGGAGGGATTTGATGATGTTTTCATGCCCTGGTGAAGGGAGTTGGACTGGATGGCCTTAAGTATTTTCTGTCGGTCATGGGGTTTCTGTGTAAGAAGTCTGCCCCAATTCTGTCATTCGTGGGGTTCAGAATGCTCTTTGATTGTAGGTGAACTATAAATCCCAGTAACTACAACTCTCAAATGTCATGGTCTATTTCCCCCGAACTCCATCTGTGTTCATAATTGGGCATATGGAATATTCGTGCCAAGTTTGGTCCAGATCCAACATTGCTTGAGTCCACAGTGCTCTCGGATGTAGGTAAACTACAACTCCCAAACTCAAGGTCAATGCCCCAAAACCCTGTTGGTCATGAGTCCTGTGTGCCACGTTTGGTTCAATTCCGAAACTACAACTCCCAAATGTTAAGTCTATTTTCCCTTAAACTCCACCAGGGTTCACATTTGGTCATACTGAGTATTCATGCCAAGTTTGGTCCAGATCCATCATTGTCTGAGTCCACAGGGCTCTCTGGATGTTGGTGAACTATGACTCCAAAACCCACCAAACCTTTCTAAGTGTTTTCTGTTGGTCATGGGAGTTCTGTATGCTAAGTTTGGTTCAATTCCATCATTGGTGGAGTTCAGAATGCTCTTTGATTGTACGTTAACTATAAATCCCAGCAACTACAACTCCCAAATGACATCCATTTTTTTAGTGATGGTCACTCATTCGGTTGCCAGGCGTATTCTGTCCAAATTTGGTGTCAATTGGCCCAGTGGTTTTTGAGTTATGTTAATACCACAAACGAACATTACATTTTTATTTATATAGATACTATTCCTCTGAAAACACCGGCACACACAGACATACACAAAATGACAGAATAACTGGTCCAAGGCCACCCAGAAGGGTTTCAAGTATATTGCATTTCCTGCAACTAGAAAACCTGCCCAATAACTTGGGATTTTACCCAGAGAAAGACATATTTTGCATCTTGTCTGACTTTAAAAA